CTGTTTGTAAGTTTGAGTTACCGCCTCGTGGTTATCTCAGATAAACATGTTTACTTAGAAGACTATCTCATTCTTAAATCATTTATAACCTTTTTTTTTGAATTACAAGTACAAACATGCTTGTTTTTGAAGAAAACAGCTCTAACTTCACAACTGTGATAAGACTACTGGGAAGTAAATAATTCATTATTTTTTTAAATGAAGTATGGAGTTGTCCGTCTTCGTTACTTTCTGATAAATAAAGTCTGTAGGACTTCAGGATGAGGCATGGACGACAGAAATTGTAATTGCAACTTGAATCTTTTAGTCAGTCAGTCTCACGAAACAGTTCCCATAAACATATTCATACACTAGCAGTAGAATCCAGGATGCTCATTTCGTCCTATTTGGGACTCATCAGTCAGCTGGATGTACCTGCCTCCCAGTGAGTGATATTGTTTCCTCCGGGATTCGGGAGCGATTGCTTCAAATGCGAGAGCGTTATCCACTACACCACCGAGCCACGATAGCCACTTCTTGTGCGATGGGTATAGTTTTAGTGTTATTGCTTGCATTTCACCGTCGTTGACTGGACAGGATTGATCAGTTCCAAACGGGACGAAATGCGCATCCTGGATTCCACTGCTAGCCACTACCCATCATAACTATACATAATTAAAACACAGGCAATATCGAGGCATCTGCACAGGAGCCTATAAGCCAACACAGACTGATCAATTCGATCCAACCAACGACGGTGTAATACAAGCAATGACACTAATATTCATACACTATTAAATATCTGTATATAAAGTGACAGCCACTGTTGTACTTAATTGACAGCCAATAGCATTATAGTATTTGTCAAGGTCGCATATAAAACAAATAACCAATCAGACACTTTTCTATAATTTGACTGGACAACTTATGCATACCATGCGCCACATATCGGTCTAGACAGCGAGGAAGCATCATAGATTTTGTTGATCTGTTAGTTGGCAAAGTTAAGTCGATGGTAAAATCTTACCGAGCAATTTCACCCTGGGGAATAGATGATTAGATTTCTTTATTCTATGCAAATTACTGTTTTCGAGAAATGGAGAAATCTGATCGGCTATCCAAATGGTTGCTACGGTGACCTTTAACTACTGGTTTGGAAGTCAGTAGTTCGTCAATTCTCAATTATGTCAATTCACAATATAGCTCAACTTTCTTCCAATGTCATCGTTGCGTATTCATCCTCACATTTATCATTGGAAGGTCATGGATGCGTTCTGTTGAGGAGTCTCGTACCGGGACGAAACAGATGTCCAGTGACCAGGCATTTTCAGTGATCGTTCAGCTGGTATCAATCCACAGTAAATGCTGCTATGATATCATAGGAGAGCTAAAGATTGATTAGGGATAATAAATTAAGAAGAAATGTAAGAAAGTCAACTCAGGAATAATTGCTCTGAAAATGATGAGACAGAGCTCCTACGTCTACCAACTGACATAAACCATCATGGGCGAAATCGAAATCTTGTAGGGTCTTTTCATCAGTCAAACACCATATGCCCATCTCGCTCGTCACAGTTGTTTCTTGCATTATCCGATCGAGTCGAGTCGACCACAATTGGGAAGGTCATCGGTGATAGTAGGCGACCTTGTCTTACTCCTGTCTTCACATCAATGTCATTCCTGAGCTTTTCATTGTGACTCGCTTGGGATGTAGCGTCTTCACATAGCTGCTGTTGAATGAGGTTGATAATTGTTTGTGGCACTAAGATCATGGTGTTTAAGCAGGTACCAAATTACTTGTCGGTCGACGTTGTCGAAGGCCTTTTCAAAATCAATGAAGTTGAGGTTGAGTTGTTGTTGTTGTTGTATGATGATGCGTAGTGTAACGTTGGAATTTGATCCGGACATGGTTTATTTTTTTCTTGAAGCCATCCAGCCTGTCCCGGTCGTAATTTTGGATCCGGAGCAATTTTTAGTCCGTCTTGGATGATACGGCTTACGATTTTGCTCGGGGTGGACAGGTCTATATATATGATGAATTCTTGACTAGATCTAAAATTGGGTCCTGCTTTCACACACAAACTTGGTACAACACGAGGACTGACAAATGCGTTAACGTAATATAACGAAGTCATGAAGTGAAATGTGATAAGATGGAAGAGGAAACAACTGATGGTTGGTTTCATGGGAAGCATTTTGAAAATAAGGTTATGCAAGACTACGTCATCTACATAGAAGCGAATTTGTCAATACTGGCTGATGAATTTGGTTCTGGCGTTTGAAGTGATCGGTCCCTGGTTCGGGTCTCCTCAGTGTGAACAATAGTCACTGGGTAGTGGGGACATCTCGTTGAAGAGTCGGTTCCAGATAGAATGAAATACATGTCGTGGATTCCACCTGAAGAGTCATGATACTCTGATAGACAGTGATCGAACGCAACTATTCTTTTTTCGACATCGTTGGGTCATACACCAACTACCTCTTCGCCTCTGTTAGGTAGTATCGAAGTAAGCAAACAATGAATAGTACGAAAGCCACGGGAATTGGTATTCGTAATGTGTCCAAGCCATTGGTACCGGTGCTTAGACTTGACTGCATTTGATGATGATCTCCATCACTCCTAGACAGATATCACTGAACCTCAGGGTTACTTCTGGTTTTATATCTCAACTGGCCTAGATCTTTGTTTATTCAGAGTCGAATTTATCGATCTGTTTTGGCATATAGCGGCAGTATCGAAGCTTCTATACACCATAAGAGACCGATCAATTCGTTTCAATTTAATAACCAGTAGGAAAATACAAGTATCAATAAATGAAAACTGAACTACGTTGCACAATGAGTGTCTTGCATAACTCGATAGCCTTTTGGATATCACTGACGTGTAACCTACATCTCACTCCTATTGTCCATCTTGACGCTTTTTCTACTGTGAAAATTGAATCTCTGTCTGTCCGTACTAAGTGTCGACGCATATGAATACTTCAAATGAAGTATTTTTTTGACGTCAATTGTCAAATATTCTTCTTGATACAAGGATTTTACTAGTATATCTCTGCACACTGTATTTATATATCCTCAGGATGAGAATGGATCTGGAATCCATGCGTATAGCATAGGTAAACACGCTAGTTATCTGAGCTCGGTTCACCTATAGAAACCTTGTTACGTTTTTTTATCTCCTCCAAATAGTTGAACTAGATCATCTTCTCGGCATTAGTTGAGTGACAAAACCACTTCAACGATACCAATCAACGTCTTAACTAAAGGATTCAATCAGTGGTAGCGACGCATGGTGTTTACAAAGAGCAGGGAAGTGATTAGCACACGCTTATGACGTACACTTGTCAGGAATTCCTCGTTCACATGATATAGTTACATGCCCTGCTACCGGTTATGATAGTAATGAAATAGTTTTCTCAAACCTTTTTTGGTCAGGTTTCTAGATTAACTGGGGCAATCATTTTAGCGCACGTTTGGCCTCGGATATCTAAGGGCATCAGACACCTGTTATTGTTCAATTTCGTCCGTCTAAGAAGTGGAAACTGGCACCGTACCTGACCACATGACTGTATGAAGAAACAATAAAAGCTACGCCTTGAACCAACACAAAGAACTACTCTACTATTTTTGGTTGGTGAAAGTCTTATTTCTTTATCTGAATTAATCAAACAGACCGCTCTCATCAGCGAAAAAGGCTATGCACGTTCCACCATGTCCAAGTTTTAAAATGGGTATTGATAGTCATGATTTCGCGTTGCTGTACTGTTGAGCCTGTGTTAGCAGATGGGATTCGATGCATCTCCCTCGATACTACCTGGACAGTAGTGGTATCCAGGACACAAGTTTCATTCTTTTCAAGACTTACTCCTCAGCTGTAAATACCTGGCCTCCTGGTGAGTGATGTTGTTTCCACTGGGGAGACTCAAAGGCAAGAGCGGTCGTTTCAAACACCCTTTGGCGTGGAAGTACATTTAGCTGTTGAGTGAGTCCTAAGCAGGACGAAACACACGTAGATTCTACTGCTATCCACCTAGCAGACTACAATCCTTTCATTTGTTTTCCAAAATTTTTTTTGGTTTCCATATTACTCTCTCTGTCTCTTGTGACTGGCTATCTAGTCACTGTTTTTTAATGTTTTGTTTCGTTTTTAACGATCTCGGTGGTTTACCAACTGTGAGCGGTACGCGACAAGACTGCTGACCGGAGATCTTTTTTGAAGGGTTTTGCGCGACTGCTAGGTGAATTCGTGATGTGTTGCTGTGATGAATTGAAATTTCCTGGCTGGGCAACCAATAGGAATCCGGTGAACGGATCACAATATGTGTTCTTTGACACAAAAGTGTCACTAACTTGCAAAATATACTACTCAGCAGGTAGTTTGATAGATCTGGCGGTTGGATAATGGTTTGGTGCTTCCGGAACTGGAGTCAACAAGGTCATACCACGAGAAAGGATATTTACAGCGTATTACTAAGTAGATTATGCACTCAGTAACCTCATGCACATTGGTGTAGTAGGTGGTAGTGAAAAACGCCTTTTATGTGTGTGTGTGTTTGTGTAAGGTCTAGTGAAGCTACCTACTTGGTTGTCCAAACTACTTCGGTAGGTGGGGTGGGGTTCGGACACCCAACCTATTAGTTCAAAGTCAACTCCTTAATCGAATGGACCACAGCTTCTGCGATCAATTATGAATAATGATCATTATTTTTATGATGGATAGTGGCTAGCAGTGGAATCTAGTACAGGCGTTTCGTCTTATTCAGGACTCGTCAGCCAGAAGTGCTTGCCTTCCAACCAGCGATATTGTACCCACTAATATTCGACTTTGGGGACCAGTTATTGTTTTAGCTCCTTAGTTCGTTGTAGTCACACTTACTGTCATCTTTTTCTTCACCATCATCATCAGAGTTGAATTCAAATTTATACATATAGCACCGATGATCCACTGCCGTAAATTTCGAGTTTCATTTCGTCTTCATATAATTTTTTTTAAACAATTCGTATATCTGTTATTTCAGGAGTCCACTAATAACCAATCTCAGTCAGTGGATGTGAGTGGAACACACGTATCAAGCGAATGGCCTGTATTAACCAATCTTGATCCAAGTATGGCAGGTACCATAATGACACGTTTAGCTTCTTCAGCTGCTGTTATATGTCGACATGTCAACAGGAATACTTTATCGTTAGATTACAATGTCGCTGGTTGTAACAATAACAGTAATACTACTAATACCAACAGTAATAATAATAATAATAGTAGTATGTTACCGGAATTACCTCTGGATTTTTTATTTCACACAAAATCTGACAGTCAGCATCATTTACAGCATAAACATATTGATGAAGATGAAGAGTTGAAAGCGATTAGAATCAATCTCTTACGTGTACTTACAAACAAAGAGTTCAATTCACTGGATTATTGTGATAATAAATGTGATGCAACTGTTTCAATCAACGCAAATAATAATAATAATAATAATAATGGTCAGTGTCAGCCCAATGTAGTGGAGACTTTACAAACTGCTAATTCTTATAACCAACACCAGCATCACCGACACTATCATCAACATAATCTTGATGATTATCCATCCTCCACTTGTGAATTACTAGCAATGACTGCTGTCAATCTGGCGAAATCATTAGATCAAAGTCAACAGGATATTGACAATTCTGTTGACTGTTCTAATAAATTTGTTCCATGTAAAAAACGCGCTGGAAGATTGAGAAAAAATTGGTAAGTCTAACTACCATAGTTTTATTATTGTCCGTCATTATTGATTTTTTTCTTCTAACTCTTAAGAACAATTTTCATTATGGATTAATACGAGTTGATGGAAGATAAAAAAGAAATTCTCTAAGGATTTATTGGTTTTAAAAGGTGGTATGCATCAGTGTCGGTTGTAGAAACCTTTGAAAATCTCCTCTCAGTTTGAGAAAATTCAACAGTGCACATTTAGAACCCCTCAAGGAGTCGAGCTGAGGAAAATAAAGGGTCATTAGATATATTTAGTTTGGTTGTGTGTTAGAGACGCATAACTAACAGGTTTCATAGCAAGTGCTTTACTCTTATTTACTCACTAGAGCAAGAAGAATCATAATTTGATCTTCCCTGCATATAGATAGTTGGATAGTTTACGGAAGGGAGTTGCTGTCGGTGAAGGAAACCAAACTGACCTTTCACCCCCTACATCTTTGTATCATCTAGTCATAGCTTCTTAAGCTTCTGTATTATTTATTTGATTCTAACCTCCTGACTGAAGTATATTGAAGGATCTCAGCCGTTTTTTTTTTAACTATATTATGCCAAGTAAAGGTGGATAGAAAAAGACTCATATCAAAGTAGACATTTTGAACATAAAATCCTCGCGATTGTGATCGATTTTCAGCCGTGCCATCAAGCGCTCTCAACCAGTGATTCCTACCGTCTCAGAGACTTCAGCCAGACAGTCTGCATTTACCGACATGACTTAGACTAAGAAGGATGAACTTCATCGGTTAGTGTTACGTCTTCGTGTGACCATCCTAAACCCTCTTTTAGTACCTTTTACCTAACCTCGATACTGCTCACAAAGTGCTTCTACCTAACGTGAGGAACACTACACAGATACCCGTGATCAACAACATGTAACGACTTCATAACTTCTACCTTCAACGATCACATTTCTCTTCGATTTAACAAGACAGAGAGGACTATATCTCAGTATGCTTGTCTGTCAATGGGTAGTCGGATATCTCATCAATTAGTGTCAGAGATGACCCCATTCGGCCAATTATAAATTGGCGTTCTGTATCCAAGCTGAGAATTTGTCACTAACCACCCTGTTTCGGCTGATACCACTGTTGTCTTCATCGCCTATCCTCAGACTAGACGTAGTCGCAGGCCAGTCTTGGAGAATCATCCTACACTTGACGGATGAGAGCATGCCGCGCATACTCAGATTTCTTCTCGAGCCGTTCAGTCCAGAAGCCCCCGCATTTTGTTAGTGTCTTCACCAAACAGAACAATATCTTCTGCATACTATAAGTCAACCAAATTCCCTTCAAGGAGTGGATTAACCCTCATGAGTTCAGAGATACTTAAGCTTATATCCATCAGCGAAATGAAATAGGAACGCTGGTAGCTTACATGGCTATGTGGTTTTGAGTAGTGAGCTTCAGTTAGCAGTATTCACTTGCTCATAAGAAAACTATATCGCTTGATGTTATGTATGTCATTATATGAGCTTTCATAACCCGGGAAAACCGGGCAGAATTCCCACCTGGTCGTGGGCGTATCGATCAAATATTCACACTCCGCCAGGTTTTGGCACGCTTACCGACGCCCAGCAATAGCTGAGCTGAGGGCGCGATTCGACTCCGTCGATCGAGAAGTCTAGTGGCAGTGTCTATCACTGAAAGCGGACTTTCTTATGGTCCCTCTTCAGACTAGTCTTTTTCGTGCTCTGATCTCGATTTCTCACTGGGTGGGTCGTAAGTGCACACTTTTGAGGAGTCCAATAGTGGGACGAAACATCTGTTCAATGTTCCCACATTTTCATATTGATTCATCATCAAGTCCTGTATTGTGATATACTTCGAGGTATTATTTCCTTAAGTCGTAATGAGAACACGTGACATATGGGGCAAACCAAGGTAGAATATAAGAGTCACACATTTGTATTAAGAGAAATTAATGAACTTTAGATTGAGATGCAATACCAATGGGGAGTAACATGCCCACTGTGAGGTTTCAAGGTCATAGAGTCGATCTATGGCAATGTTGTGGATACCCATCACTGAGTTCTTCAGAATCACGGGAAGACAGTTGGCCATTGCTTTCTAGGTTTTCAACATTTCTTCAACTGATATCACTCCGTATTGAATACTAGCTTAAAAAGGTTACTTGTTCATAGGTGAGATCCATTAGGTTATATGAGTGCACATTTTCGTTCTTACTGGCTGGTTGCTAAGGAAATCTCAGCTGAGATGTAGAAGGTCCGCTTGAGATTTGCTAACTTATGTCATATGTGGCCCCAACTAGCGAGATATCCGACTGTCTATCGAAAGATGAGTATACTACGCTGTTATATTCACTTCTCTCGTTGTACGGTTGTGAGATATGGTCGTTAAAAGTAAAAGACATGAAGCGGTCACAGAGTTTCAATCATAGGTATCTTGTTAGGATTGTTTGTATTTGGTGGAATCACAGTGTGAATAATATTGAGGTTAAACGAAAGGGTACTAGTCAAGACAGGCCGGTTGTCAACCTTCATCGAATGAGGCGATCTCCGTCGATGTGCCAAGTTAGGAGAAATTAGGTCAGTTTGTAAGACAGTTCCTGGTGGCTAGACTAACACGTAGCACCAGTTGATGAAGTCTGAGGCATGAGAGGGAGGGGGTGTAGACAACCTAGCAATGGGCCTTGAGATCAAAAGAACCACTCCTTTGGATATTTGCACTAATCGCTATTTTTGTCAACTTTGTAGTATGAATCATTTTCTCAACTTTCTTTCTTGATTTACCTTTGTTTTTTTGTTTTCATATATATTTTTTTTTACCCAGTCCTTCATTAAGCATAGATCCACCGACAAATACCAATGTAAATGGTGATTTATCTATGAATTTTGGTATCACTAATTCAATGGGTACAAGCTTAGCTACAACTACTACAACTTCAGCTGGAATTCATCCATATATAACAGATGATAGTGTAACAAATCGAAATATTCAATCTACTGTTGACAATATTGAAATTGAATTATTGCATAATTTAAAACCAATGATAAATAAGTTAACATTGTTAAAAACTGCCCCATTAGATGAAGATCCACCATGTTGGTTAACTCTAAGACAATGTAATCATCAGTTGTCTAATATCATATATCAACAGTCTAGTAACAACACTATGAATTCGTTGACTTCTCCTAGTCGATATCATCTTTATATGGATTGTTTTAAACAGACTACACGTAAATTATCATATACAAGTTTATCTTTACAAGATATTGAAAGGAATAAAGTTGATCAGGTGAAAAACAATCTACATCTTCTCAATGGAAATAATAAAAAGGATGAGAATAGAAAAAACGGAGAACTTGTCTGTGCAATTTATCTACCTTGTTGTATAATTTATGCTTTTCTGCTAGACAATATGAATTAGAAGGCTTAAAGAGAAAAGCTTCTGCTCAAAATCAATCCATACATATGTTATACTTTTCCACTGTTATGTATATTCCATTTTTAATTATTTTTGGCATTTTCCATCTAATTGTTATGCCTAGGTAAGTAAGTGTATTGTTTACTAGTTTTATATGTATATATTGGCCAAATTTTTGAAAGTTTTGGTTGTATTGTTTTCTATCAGCTGGGTTGTTTAATTATGGAGAAGCTTTCATCGTTTTTCTGGACGACATCACCACTGAAGTATACAAGAAGCCAACACACACAATTTGACTAAATTGTCAACTACAGTAGCAACAACCCAACAATGCACAAAATCAGTTGTATTCAGACTCTATTCATAAGGGTGAGAACACACTGGAAAACAACAATTTCACGGAGAAACGAAAAAAAATTACTTGATATCTAGCCTAAAGAAGAACGGTTACCCATGAAACTTTATCACAAAATGCCTATCCCGTGCATCATCATCTACAAAGTCATTAACAGAAATTAAGTAACGCATCACTCTACCGTACATATAAATTCCCTTCAAACCTTATTATGCTGACTATAGGACGCAGTAGCCAAAGGAGACTAACCAAATATCATTTACAAAATCAACTGCAATCACTGTAGTCAACACCACATTGAACAAAGTGGTCGCCTACCTTCACCTTCGTCTACATGAACACCAATTGGCTATTAAACTTCACACATGCCATTTCATCACTCATTTCAATGTATGTGGATAACAACTATGGACATGAATTCCATTTTGATAATGAACATATCGTGGACGGAGGGAAGAAAGACAAAGAATATCAGAGAATTTCTACAAGCTTGGCATCCACATAAATCAGCCAGTCAGTCAGCAATCAATAGATGTATGGACATAGACCCAATCTATCAACCAATGAGAAGAATGCTAAACAGCATCCAGGTCAGAGGTAAGGAAGAAGAACAGTCAGCAGGAAAATGTGCGCAGTGAGTGACGCAATCATCAAAGGAAACGACCAATCACAAATCAGTTGGTCAGGGCAGGCTACTGAATCACATATGGAGAGATATTGAACCCTACTACATATTGAAGTTAGTGGTGATGACGTTGGTGTTTAGAAAGACAACGACAGCTTCTCAACGATTAAACAATCCAGCTGAGAGAACACAATACAACCACGACCATCCACATGAGCTACAAATATTCTCTATTTTGAAAGTTTTTTCGCTCAGTACACTAGCTACTCATGATGTGTTTGTCTTGAGTTTTGCTTCAGACAAGGGGAAAAAATAGGTTCGTAAAAGGAATTACCCTTATTGTGACAGATTCCCTAAATTATTTCACCTTGAAAAAAAGATGGTTAATACTGGGTGGTGATTGAATACGAACTGGGAATCGGAACCGTGGCCGTGGCATTTGAACTCAGCGACCATTGGGTTTCTGGTCCGATGCTTTACACCTACTGAGTGTTTTGAGCGAATACTATGTGAATTCGTGACACCTTACTACCGCTTGATCGTAGCTCAGTTGGTTGGGTATCGGGCCGGAAACCTGGTGGTTGCTGGTTCGAATCCTGCCGTGGTCCAAATTTTCATTTCACCTTCAATCATCACCTAGTATAAAGACTAGTCTGCCAAACTACGGTTCTCAGATGGTGAAAGTAGAAAGATGGCTTTCAAATCATGAAAAGGATTGTTGGCGGCTGATGAGGATAACGATGGTTTGGTGTGTTTTCTGAGTTTTGACATTTTTTTTGCTGTATATGTCATCATCAGATATTTTCTCGATATCAGTTACTGCTCAGTTGATGAGACGTTCACGGCAAACTACCTGACCTTAGAAAGCACAGCAAACCATCGTCAAGAAACTGAAATTTGCAAGACTCTTTGTCATGCTTTCCTTTGTTTTAACAATGTAAACAGGTGATTGATAAGAACACTATTTAAAAGCAACTTAGAAAAGGTCATTCAGAGTTCGTAGAGAATCTATAGTCCATACGTTGCTAGCTTCTACAGGAAAACCCTGTTATCATGAATTTAGACAGATAAAATCAACTTGGAACCTCAAACACAGGTGCATCAGCTCAAATTGTAACATTTCACAGTAGTATAAAAAGAACAGGTGGATACAGAGTAGTGATATAAAATTAGACAAAGTTATGTGAGAGAATAAACAATCTGAAGGTAGTGGTCAGTACAAATATTCAGGCTTCAGATGTTATGGGATGAATACATTTGCACCATTGTAATCGATTTTCAGCCATATCACCTAGAGTCCCCAGCTTCTGATTCCTATTGTCTCCAGGACACTAGCCAAGTAGCTTCCATATTTCCACACGGATGAGACCGGTAGTCGTAGACTTTTGTCACATCTTAATCTGGTCACTATGAATCTTCTTTCAACCTAATCCAAATTTTGTATGTCGAGGTTGTTGATGGCTTAGCATACACAGTTTATGTTCGAAACCTTGTTTTCACAGTACAGAGAACTACAAAATCGCAGATAGTTGGGGTGTGTTTCATCGCTTTAGACATTTGACTTTCAGATGGTAGTCCATAGGTTCGAACCTGGTTGTACCTACAGAGGTTTTCACAACCGAATAGTATCAATAAGCCTTCATATAACAGGTGTTTCATCTCTTTCTCGGTCACTTGCTCATTGCTGGTATTTTACTCGTCAACATTATACTTCAGTGTGTGCTATGGCTCAGTCTATATGACACCACCTTTTTATCCAAAAGGAATTAGTTTCATAATAATATTCAAGTGACTTACCTTCCTGTCATATGACTTTTGAAAGTCTCTATGATAGAATCGCCTTTGGTCATTACTTGACCTCGAATACGATGAAACCGTACTGGGCTAGAGATTGTTTCGTAGTCTACTGATTCGCTTACTTATACAATCGATAGTTAGGTCTTATGATTGTTTTTTTCCTTATCAGAGTTGTTTCAGTTCAGCCAAATAAGTCAAACCTTATAGTTTAGTGGAATCATTGCCCTCTCTGTCTATCATAAAACTGCGATCTGACACTTTCCACTGCTAAAGCTTGAATGTAGCATTGATTGAACACAAAACACCTTATCAAAGTGTCAGATTAATTATGAAGATGGGTTTTTAATTCATCATTTTGTTGACTGTTGAAGTCATTTGATGGTCTAGGTGTAACTTTGTCGTCTTACAGCCACTTTCATAGGTTACCTGTAATCTATTTCAAGCGAAAAAAAGTAATCACTTTTTATTATATTGTTTTGTTACCAAACTTCATAGTCATATGATAATTTGATAGAGAATAAACACACAAATCATGTCTGCATTTTTTAGAAACTTCCTCTTCTTCTACAAAATAAAAACTTTGGTAAAAAAGAGAAAAATGGTAGGATATTCGACTGTTGCCACCCTCTTCTTCCTTTATCTATCTTACCAGATAAATCCACTCCTTATGCTGTCGAATGAAAGAATTTTTGTAGGATGTGTTCAATATAGACTGATTTTGAATGGTAACTTTCGTCATAAGTATATGATATGGTATATTATGTTATCCGATTGTCTATTAAGGGTTGTATGTACTGCGCAGCAGTTCACTCTCTTCTACTCTATGGCTGTGAAACATGGCTATGGAAGGTGGAAGTCATGAAGAGGCTTCGTAGTATAGGCCATATTTTGTGGTGTCACCACGTCAGCAACGCGGACGTCAGACGTAGAGTTTTAGGGAGAAGAGGTAATTCGGTTGACGAGGTTATGAACCTTCATCGACTGAAATGGTTGAGGCATGTGTTACGTATGCCTAGTCCCCGTTTTTCTCGTTGGAAAATGTTGGCCGAAGTAGGTTCAGGCTGGTAAAAGGCACGAGGCGGATAGACTAAACATAGCACCAATGCATGAAATCTCTGACTGTTGGTTTGAGCTATGTGGGGCGATGCAGACTAGGTGGTTGAGGTCAACGGGACAAGAGGAACCAGTTGTTGAAGACTCTAGGGGATATGGCTAGGAACCGATGTCAGTGGTGCAGATATGTACACACATTATTCTCATCTTAACGATGCTATGCCGAATCTCACCATTTTGTCATTCTTCCTTCTGACTGAATTTTCTTATCTTCATCTTGTGCTCCACTGCCTTTTTACTTGATGTGCTGATATGAAGTGTGGCAAGTTGGACCGTGAGGCAGTAATTCCTGGTCTTATGTTGATTTGGATGATGGTTGGATATGATATGGTACATCTGACTTGATAGGTATTGGCCTACTCCTTTTAGGGGATCTGGTCGACTTTGAATTTACAGAAGACATTACCCTGTTAATAAAGAAATGCAGGGTCTTTTGAACGCGTTGAACTATAATCTGAGTATGTTTGACATGCATTTGGGAATTGGTCTTTTGCAGCTACTTCCAATTCTTTCTCAATAGACAGTGAAATGGCGAAATGGGTCAACTACTTCAGTTATTTGGAAAGTTGCGTCAGCCAGGATAGATTGCTTGCCGAGAAAATCTCGGCTCGGATCCAGAAGGTCTGTTTGGCTGACTGGTGAGTTGTCCGAGTATTCATCAAGAGATGAAGATATTGCGTTGCAGTCCGTTCTGTCATGTAGTACGGCCATAAGAATTGACTATCAAAAGTAGAAGGGATGAAGGAACTTTAGGCTTCTGATCACATATTTCTTTGTAGTATTCCTCATACTGTTGGAATCACCATGTGAACAATTGCTAAGGTCCAACGAATGTTAATAGACAAGTCGATTGATGTTGTGAACCTTAACCTACTGAGATGGCTTGGACATCTATGGGTCATGGGTTCGAACTTCTGTCCATCTACTAAGCTTTGGACAATTAATTAGTATAATTAGCTCTTACATCATAGGTGTGGCTCATTATGTAAGTACTGAACGAATGTACACAAGGCTGGTGACCGGATGTCAGTTTTGTCCAAGTATGAACTCAGCTGCGTACATCTCCGATCTTGCCGGCTACGGGGTTCCATGAGGAACACTTCTCCAATGAGCTGTGAATTTACTTGCTCTCCGAGGATCAATCAATGCATGTAATCCAGTCTTAGAAAAGGTCATGCTTGATCTGAATGGCTCAGTGGTAACATCGCTGAATGCAACAATGGATGAGGCAGGTTCAAGATGACATGATTTTGTCTAAAGGATAAGTTTTGGTCATAAAGTTAACGTAAGATTTCCTTAACTTTCATCTTTATCCCGAACACTTTTTGTTTGTTTTATTCGCCACAGGTCTATCTTGTTGCTTACTGCCTATTCAATCGCTTCGGTATATATTACTATACAGCTAATGATGATTGGATGTTTCAAACGATTTGCGGTAAGTCCAGTTTATTTTGGAAAAAAATTAGAAGCGGGAACGTGCTGCCCACTGACGACATTTCAGCTCGGATACAGAATACCTGCTTAGCATTTGCCATTTTTTGTCACCTCTTACGCCAACTGGACGATCAGGCTTTGCTGCAGTGCGTTCTGTCCTGTTATACAGCTGTGAAACCTTACTGGGTATCTCTGCTGCATTGCTGGCGTTTCGTGGAATCCTTGCATCAACAATGTTGAGGTCAGGCGAACAGTACTAGACAGAACAGGCCGGCAAGTTGATTACTTAAGTTGTGAACCTTTATCGACTGAAATGGCCTGGATATGTGTTACCCATGCCGATCCGCCTTTCTCGATGTGCAGTGCTAAGGGAAATTGGACTGGCTTGAAAGAAGGTTGAAGGTGGCCAGACCAAAAGGTGGTACCAGCTGATGAAGCCTTTTACTGTTGGTTTGAACCGTGTAAAGATGTGTAAGCTACCTGATTGGGGTCCTGTAAACGATAGGAATCAGTAGTTGATGACTCTCGGTAACTTGACTGAACGCCAATCGATCACAATGGCGCAGATCCACTCACTCCTTGATACTTTTTCAAGCTTGAATATTTGTGCTAACCGATATCTTAAGACTGCTTGTTCTCTCACACAACTTTGTTTACTTTGATATGAGTCTTTTTCTACTTTTTTTTTTACTGCTGTTAATTATGGCAACGTGTAGTGATTCACTTGTGTGCGAAATTCTACGTCGATTTTGTCAGTCAGTCGAGAGATTATAACGCTGACAAATTCACAACGGTGGCTCCTTTCGAGTTACTGAAATGCAGTCAGAGGTTGAGCGTTTGGGACTAAATATCTCTCGCTTTGCAAGGTTGAATTACACTTGTCTTTGATTTTATATCAACAGCAATGATTGTCAGAATTAGAAAGCTTGATTCACTTTACACTGAGAGGAATCCTAACAGCTAACAAAGTTATGCATGCTTTGAAGACTTGCCTCACTGACCTTGCGATAATAGATCTTGTTGACCGCTATTTATGCTGAGTCATCTTGACAGTCCGTTGGATAATATCAAGTGAGGCCACGAGGAGGCTCACCGTCATACACAACTAGGCTTAACCCCATGATTCGTAGCACCAGTTTAATACGCCGTGTCGAGCTTCTTCATGTCATCGCCGTTGCACATAACCATAAAGTGAATCCATGGTGTCTAGAGATTCGTAGTTACTTATTGTATTTTCTAGTTGTATCAGTTATCTAAGGTTTACTGTTCATCTTATTGATTGAAAACTGATTTATTATTTTTTCTAATTTTCCAATCTTAGAAATATGTTACACCGTGTACTTCGCCAACGGTATGTCGATTGTTGCTATGGCTAACTATGATTGTAGCTACTGTTACTACATCACTGAATATGGTATGTCTAATTGTATTGCTGCTGTCCCCATAATTGTTATTATTATGGTGATGATGCTTATTATGCCTACCACCATTACTACTAATATTTTGATATCAGTAAGCTTAGTCATGAAAACATTTTTCGTGGTTTTCATTTTATTCCCCCCCGCCCCGCCCCACACCTTCTAATCATCCTGCAAGTATTACTGTTCATTCTCGTTTAGTTCCAACTCAAGGTTTCGTGAACAGAATTCTCACGTGTGATTTCTTTGTGTTAATGATCACCAACCGAAGGAAATTGATATCAATTTCAAAATGCGCAGGCTATAACTCGTACGAATGTTCTAGAAAATAGATTCTTGTTTAATTCAAGTGTATTTAGAAGATGGAAATCAAATTGTTTCCTGCTGCCATATCGCTATATGATTCATAGTTTCTTCAGTAGAACTATCAAATATTATTCTCTGGATCCTTGTCGTTGATTGGTTGACTATTGGCCAATCACATGACGGGTGTTATGCATAATCTTTCCTGATTGGCTTTTTAATTAAACCTCGCCATTTTATAATATCGTGACTTGTAACAATTTTGTACTGTTTTTTCGTTTCTTCTTGTTCTCATGGTTCATGGACGTCATTCTAATTGCATGACACTTATGTTGTAGTTGGCTTAGTAGGTGGCAAAGGGATCTAGGACACGTTTCGTTCTGTTTAGAACTGACTCGTCGACTAGATCTACCTGAACCCCAATGAGTGATGTAGTTCCTACCTATTGAGATTCAAACTTAGTACTGATCGCTTCAAACGCTAAAGCATTACCCACTAGTCTACTGGATCACGAGAGTCACCATTGTATTATTATATGAAGTAAGTAGTTGGGACTACACCCACATCTTGACGTCTATTCTTACATTTCAGTGACATGTCTCACCGGCTTGAACATCTATCCAGTTAAAATTGTTGGAACTGATAGGTTTACAATGGAATACAAGTTTGTTGAACATCATAATAAGACTCAAGGCAGTATCTAGTTGTTCAATTCGGTCTGGTATGATGATCAAGGGGGAATTACGAGTATTAATAACTAAAAACTGGCACTTATCTGTGGGACCGCGAACGCTTGCTGGATCGTGGGGTATTCAGTTTGCGAGTCTCAAATAAGTTGAGTCACACATTCTTGAATCCACTCTTAAGTAAATTACATGATAACAAAATGCAAGATCCTGTGAATGTGTTGCATTAACTCGAGTAGGTTAGTTGCCGACAAATCTCAGCTTGGATACAAAAGATCCGTTTGACATTTGCCAACTTGAGTCACCTTTGGGGTCGACTGACAAGATATCTGACTACCTATCAAAGAACAAGTTGTGGGCGTTGGCCGATCGAGATATCTTGCTTATGTAAAGGCGCTTGTCGAGACACTGCCTAACTTGACTTGCAATGCTAGTGAAAGTTGGATTAGGCTGGAAGACGGTTCAGGTCGGTGAGGCAAAGACGTGGCGGTAGTCAAGGAAATCCTCGACTGTTAATCTGAGCCGTGTGGCGAGAAATAGAGTCTCCGTGATGATAGGGATCAGTGGTTGAGAACTATTGGTGGCATGACTGGTGTGAAGTGACGCAACTTGAGGTACGCACCTGTATGTGATGGTCTACGTTGATTTTGTTAAATGCTGTTGTATTTTTTTTACTATACCATTTTATGTACTTGTTCAATGAATTTATTACTTTCATTTATAGTTTCTCCATCCATGTTTGTTCTCTCTCGCCTCTCCAAACAGTTTTTGTGTCGTCCAATCAGTGAAATACATTTGGTCACTGATCCAACTGGTCAGATAAATTTCGTCGATTCACATCAACGTCAAGCAAAACAATTTCATCCATTCAATGATTTGAAGAGAAATTTCACCATCTCAACTTTACTAGTAGATTACAATAGTTTTGAAGAGGAAAGCTTTTTGTCATCATCATCGCCAAGTACTTCAATGGTTGTTACAACAAGTCCTAGCAACCTCAGTAACCATATCAGTGAACATTATTGTTTCTTCTACGACCAATTTATCATAATTGGTTGTTTATCAATGCTAATTTCGGGTTTATTGTCCTCTGCAGCTTTGTATGCAACAAATAGGAAAGCAAAGTTATCAGTTGTCAACATGTCTGTTCAGAGGATGGATGAGACATTGGAGTTTATTGCTACACCTCAATTAACCCGCGTTTTCATTGGTTTGATAATATTCACCCTACATATTGGTATAATCTTATGGACTACTGATTACAATGGATTGTTTTATGTATTTCAAGCTAAGAACGAAGGGTAAGTTGAGAAGTTGTGGTGTAACCTAGTCTATTATATATCCTTTACCATTTAGATAAACACTGACGTACCAGTCACAGGAAACTTGGTTTCAGTGTCTTCCCCTCTCACTTCACGAATAAAATTCCCGTCAAGTGAATCGATTCTCTTGAAATTAGTTGCTCGAGTGTTTTTGAAAGGCGAATTGAAGTTCTTAAACTTTTAGGGGAGAAGGCAAACTACCTGTCGATGAAATTGGACAGCGGTTCTACTATGTAGTGAGTTAAAATACACTGGATAGTCGTAGAACTTATAGGAAGACCTGAAGTTTTCGAGGTTGTTTATAAGGCATGAGATTAATCGTGACCGCTGATGAGGAGAAGTTTCCCACTGAGACGAAACAACTGTGTATCATATTTGTGAAAGGCTTAGTGAATTGTTAAGATAGTGAAATAGTCACGCCAGTCATGATGAAAAGAAAAAATCTGCGAACGATACTTACTCAATACGACACTTGGGATGAATACGATACACTTCATTCGACAAAAATATATCATTTATGTATACAGTTTTTCATGAACATATAAAATCCCCAGGTCTAAATTTTATTATTATTATTATTAGTCCCTTGGGTTCCTAGTGGAACATAGGGCTTCAGTAGCACGTCTCCAGTGACCTCTGTTCTCTGAGATCTTTTCAACCTGGTTCCACGACAGCCCAGAAGCTCTCATTTCTTCCTCGCACGACCTCCTCCATGTCACCCTCGGACGTCCAACTCGTCGCTCCCCATGGGGATTCCACTCGAGCAACTGGCCTGACGCGTGATGTCCCCAGTCGGCCTTCTCACTGCATGCCCAATCCATCTCCACTTCCTCCTGCATATTTGTTGGGTGATAGGTTCTTGGTTGGTTGGTTCCCAGAGCTCCTTGTTGCTTATTCTCATTATTCTGGCCATCTCATGGATTTTCAGTAACATAGGCAGTTGTTGATGAATGTGTGAAGTTTATTGGAAATCTCTTTCGTGACGCGCCAAGTCTCTGAGCCATACAGAAGCACTGACTTGAGGTTGGTGTTGAAAATCCGTATCTTGTTCCGCATGCTGAGTGCATTAGATCTCCACACTGGTTTCAGGCCCTAGGTCTAAAGTTGAATGAATTTTTTTGATTGGTCAGCTGAAGGACAATATTGTCCAGTAACGCTTTTCTTGACTACACAGTGATATAAAATCAAAATTGAAGTCCAAAAACTGATGACTTAAAATGTTGACTTCCGTTTAGGTTGCTTCCTATCCGATGGTTATCCTTATATATGGTTGTTTTTTTGGGGGGGAGGGGATTGAATAATTCGAAAGTAGTTCGCTTCACAGATTAAAGTCAGAAGACGCTTAGACTAGAATCTCAGCCTATCATCTTAAGGCAGCATATTCCGTACAAGATTGAGCAGTTTAGAATTCAATTTCTAGGAGGACTGGAAGCTTCTACTGTTGAGGCATGGTGAAGACAGATGGAAAGTATTTCTGCATTAGTTTCTGTTTGCTTTTTAAACCTCCTTAAATGTTATAGCGATTCATAGTAATGAAATTACTTTTTCTTTGGAGAAATCGTAAAGTATGCTGTAACATGTGCGAAGAAAATATCGACGTAAAAATTAGCGTGAATAGTATTTAACTATGGTGAGCATTTCCTAAGTTGTTGAGTTTATACTTATTTTTCGACTATGATGAATCACCTTGGAATGATACTAGTTAGAGGAGAATTAGAGAGCACTGGGAGCATTGAACAGCTGTTTCGTCCTGGTACGGGGCTCCTCAGATGTGCACACCTATGACCCCGAGCTGCCAGGGTTCGAACTGAGGACCTTAGGGTTATGTGGCCGGCACGTTAGCATTGAGCCACTGGGTTGGAGTTCAATGCTTCATATCTCCAACTTCTGCCAGTCCACCATCCGATTCCGTCGTTGAGTACCTGCCCTCATGTTCGATTTGGTTGTCTCTAATGGTCACGGCAACATTAGATGGAGGCCGTGCTATATTGTGAACTGACAGAAGTAGGAAATATGGATAATTAGATTCCGATTCAGTGGCTTAGCAGCAACGTACTGACCACAGAACTTCAAGGTCCTAGGTTCACTCCATGTCAGGGAGGGGTTACACGTGTACACTGCTGTGGAGTCCCATACTGGGACAAAACAGGAGTTTAATGCTTTCAACTGGTGTCAGTCCATGATGAATTCCAACCGGAAATCAATAAATAAATCTCCACAAACCTCCAGATTGATGAACCAATTTAATATATCAACAATAGAGGCAAAACTATGCTTTATAAGACTGAGGTAAAAATCTCTAGTCACCAGAGTTTTATTATAACTTGAATACAAGTTAAGACACCAGTCAAATGGTGATATGAACAGAGAAACTTATTGCACAGCATCTAAGGGATGCTATACGAAACCCATATTATCCACTTAGGTATTACTGCATATTCAGAGTTAATCGATGCCGACCACGTGAACCAGTTTGACTACTTCTGTTGAATCAGTTAGTTACATCCGATGTATGATTAAACCAAGTCCTTCGTTAAATTTCCGACTATCATCTCTCATACTGAAGCAAAGGATATCAAAAGATTGACAGAAAGCATCATACTCTATTATATGGTTGACACTGGTTGCTATTCACTATGCCTTTAAAGTTGTTTTTTTCACATTATTTCTACTTTCAGCTATACTCTGCGATTTCGTCTTCTCTATGTAAAGTAGAAGTTGTTCGATTTCTTTGGGCAATTGGAATCTACATCTTCAGATGAAATCCATTGAGCTTCTTTATGGACCATAAATGTTCCCATTGCTCATCAAGCGAACGATAACGATCGCTTCCAATTGTCATTACGAAATAGTGTAAAAATCTGTTGAAAGGTTCATTAATTCTGGTGTATAATTATTGGACACCTTAGCTAGTTTTGTGATTTAATTGACTAATTCTTACTTAGTTGATACTTTGATTATCTGTTATTAGGCAGGCGAAGTAGATTCAGACTGGAAAAAGGCTCAGGGCAGCCGAGCTAAAACAGCTTCAATGCATGAAGTACTTTTGGTTTGAGCCATGTAGGTCTATGCAAACTAGCCGATTAGGGTCTGCTGGATAAGAGAAATTAGTGGTTGTTGGGGACTCTGGGTGTAATATGTCTCAGAATCGATGTTTATGGTAGAGATGTATCCACACACATCATTCTTATCCTAGGCGGAGTCTACTTAATCTCATTATTTTCTCATTCCTGTCCTATCCTACTTTCTACTTCTACTTCCTTTGACCGAACTCGCTTCTATACTGATTTTAATGATGATTTACCAGCTTATCATCCTTCGACCGATATGTTATTACTGTAGAACCATCGGTTAGGGACTATTTGAAAAGATGCTGAATACTCATCACAACTGCAGACACTACGACTACCAGAGAGATATGATCAATATAGGACTTCGCATTACTGCACAATGGACCAGTTTGCCACATCTCATATCAACACATCAAGCGAGAAAGCACTAAGTGAGCTGATGAAGAAATGTATAGGAGGAAGCAGTCAAAACAGAGCAATGTGTGTTGATACATCTGTGCCACTGAAATCGATTCTGAGCCATGTAATATAGGGTTTGCAACCACTGGTTTCTTTTGCCACGACGACGACTTTAACCATGAAGTCTGCACACCCCTGCATAGCTCAGACTAACAGTCAAATAATGTCATGTTTTAGTCTGCTCACCACAAGTCTTTCTCCAGTCTGAACCTACTTTGAAGGCATGCAGCATCTTCCGGTGAAACCCGAACCATAGCCATAAGGCAATCCGCAGGAAATCATGTATCTGGGTTTCATGCTTGCTAGCACTCGTCAGCCAGACTTGTGTTTACAACCCTCGGGGTTCGAACCCACACCACTGATTATTGGAGTCACTTGCGTTAGCAACTAACGTCCATCGAAGGTGCACTGCACAGATAAGCCTCCTAGTATGATGACCATATTACTCAAAATGATCGGTTGAATTCAGTCAGTTATCAGGAGTAGACAGCATCAAACTGGTAACACTACTGAATACAATACTGTGTGGTGTGGGTTAAAATCTCAGTCAATCGCTTTGAGGTCTCAGATATACACCTTGCTGACATGTGCCATCAAGCGAGAAACCTTGGAGAAGCAGAGGCTTCTTGTTGACTCCCTCGAGTGTTGTTCTCCTCATTTCTGTAGTTGACCAGACTTTTTTGATGGAAACTGTCCACATTATTTCTCATTCATCCCTCCACTGGCCTTTTCTTTTTGTTCAAAGGTATGCAGACAATAACTCATCGACATTGACATCATCCATTCAACCAAATCTGTTCAGTCGAAGTTTTGTACACAGTTTATTTGCTCAATTTGCCTTTTTCTTACTGACTGTTCTATTGCCTCGAAGTTTAGAGTATCAGAGTCGGTTAATCAAACAATGGAAACTGAAGGTAAGTTGTAGTTATATTTGTATAACGCGAGTTATAAAACTTCATCAAACTTCATCATCATCAAATCTGTATGCTAGGCTACATATGATGCCTTGTGTTGTGTGTATGAATCTGTGCCTTGTTTGTGATCTGACCATTCGTCTTTCAACCAAATGGGTCTTCAGTTCGACCAGTGGTCTACCTACTGAGGTGAGGTCTTCACAATCAGCTAGTATCATTAACCAACATTGTATGTTGCACCAATTTGGTAGATTGTCATTCGAAGTTGTTCTTCGCATGCTTATGATATCTGCTCACTAACAGTAAAGAGTGCTCAAATTGCTTTCTCCTCATCCTATGCTCAGTAAACTCCATTGACAGATGACTCTCTGTGCGGATGCCTCGATGCTGACATGACGTAGTTCATTGGCTTAAGGAGAAAACTTTCAACTAATGGGTAATGGGTTGGAAACCTACTCCACCCAGTGAAGTGGTTTGCGTAGCCAGGTTGTATCATCAATAGGCGTAGCTCACGGATGTGCGCAAAGATCCTGAGAGCATTCAGAAACTGCTATTTTAGTTGTTGTATGTTTGTATAACGCAAGTTATAAAACTTCATCAGTTGTGTACAAATCTGTATGCTAGGCTACACACGAAGCCTTGTGTTGCGTATATGTTGCAGCATCTCCCTATATAGTTAAAAAAAATAGTTAAGGCTTGCATATATTGATGGCATGTTTTAGTGTCGCCACTCCGAGCCTTTTTCTAGCCGGGAACGTCTTCAGCTAACACTGTGCAACGAGGCAGATGATGAATAGACATACGTAACACATGTCCTAACTAGCCATCTCAGTTGTTGAAGGTTCATGACAGCATCAACTAACTTTCCTCTCCTCCCTAAAACCGTACATCTGACTTTTGTGTTACTCACACGGTGACACCACGACACAGCTTATTTTACGAAGGGAACGGTACTCAAACACGCAGAAAGTTTTCATATCCTACTTTTCAGTTAGGTGAAGTGTTTAACTCACCTAACCACTTCACCCCGTATGGTTATCTGGTGGACACCAGAAGACCAGTTCTGAAGGAACAGTTTGCATTTTTATGATACGCATACCAAGCATTCTGAAATTACCACTCTATATCCCTAGAAGACTCTGCACATTGTCAAATTCTTCAGTTCTTGACAAGACTACATCATCTGTGTATTTGATTTACTGAAGATAAAATCAAACAACTTCACCTCACCCCCTATCCCTGCCAAGCAAATCACTAGTTAAGTAGAAGTATGTATTAGTAAGTGGAAACGATTTATAGCTTGGTGGCTACCAGTGAGATTCAGGACGTGAGTTCCCTTCTATTTAGGACTCACTCGTCCACTGAACGTACCAGCATCCTAGTGAGTGATGTTGTTCCCGCTGAAACTCAAACCAAAGACATATCCCTCAATTCGATAAAGTGATTTTTATCACTCTTTGACCTCTGTAACTGTGAATCTCATGTGGTAACGCTGATTAAGAATCTTTGTCAGAGTGAGATTGTGCTACTCAAGAAGAAGTACAGCTTTCTTTCAACTATGAGCAACTTGACGAAAGAAGTTTATCATGAAGCACAGTGTTACAGTAGTAAATAGCAGAGTTTCACTCTAACAAAGTAAAATTTGGGTCAGAGAGATCAAGGTGTAAGGGAAATCACTTCCTCAACTTACAATTGGTCAACACACTAAAGGTCAACAAAAATACTGTCTCAAAATTAGTGTAACGTTCGAATACACTTGAATTTTTTATGAAGTTAGTGGTGAGGAAGATGTCACTAAACCGTGTGATGTAAAAATTTTCATGACATAAAACGAATACTCAGAGATAGACCAAGCGCCATAACCAATTAATCGCAAGGCGTTTTTAATCACGGAGTCTGATACTATTTGTGGAATAACCAAGAATCCCGATACATTAGGACTCCTTAAGCAGTGTGGATGACGAAATGAGTTGAGAACTTACAGGTCTGGCAAATAGCATGTTTCTGTTCACCTAAGGGGTCGAAATCAAATAGATCATGAAAACCTGACATCCTTGAGCTTGTAAATGCATACTGCTGTGGAGAGTCTCCAGTTAAGATGAAAAATTCACCCAGTGTTCTGAGTTACTCAATGGCTTTCCAATTGATGTTAGAGTCTTTATTGAAAGCTGACCTGAAATCTATCAATCAATTCCTTACAAAGTGATTGGTTGTCTTACTGATTTCAACTTTAAAATGATTGAAACGATTTGTATCTCAGGATGATGCTGATTTTGGTTTGATGTTCTCTGAGCTTTGATATTTCATCGTGAATGTTTTGTCACTAGGCTTGTTGACATCTTCGGCAGCGGTAACTTGATAGATGACTGTTTTCTTCCTAAGTAGATTATAAATTGGGTCTATATCCATATATGTCTATTGATCAATGTTTCGTTTGAATGCTAAGCTCTTCAGAAATACTCTTCCAGCTTTCAAACCTACTCTTTGAAGGATTTTCACATTCTCCCAGTCGAATTTATGATCATGATTATCTGCAAACATCGGAATCGAAGAGGTTGCTTCATATCGCTTCATTGCTAGTTAGTGTTCATGAATTCTTTGAGCGATTCCGATGGCAAGACTCTCCAACATACTGGTGTGAACAATCGTTTCAACTTATTATTTGTCCTCTAGGTTCCTAGTGGAACATACGGCTTCAGTAGCACGCGTCCATAGCACACTATTCTTTACAGTCTCTTGAACCTGGCTCCCAGATCACTACATTAGCTTTCATTTCTTCCTCATACGATCTCCTTCATGTCACTCTCGGACACCCATCTCGTTGTTTCCCGTCTGAGTTTCACTGGACCGCCTGACATGGCACATGATGTCCCCAAATGGTCTTCTCAGTGTATGCCGATCCATCTCTATCTCCACTTTCTTCTTCTGCATATTTATTGAGCGGTAGGTTCTTGATTGGTTCGTTGCCAGACCAGAGTTCCTTATTTACTCTTCCTGGCCTTCTGATCTTATCTTCACTATCGAGTGGGGTTGGGTGGTAGCTGTTGATGTTATGGTCTGCAGTTTGTTGGAAATGCGATTCGTAACGCACCAAGTCATTACAGACATTAGTGCAGAAAATTAGCATCTCGTTCACGCTTTATGTTAAGTGCAATGCAGTGCAGTAGATCTCCGCACTGATTTCGGATTAATGCAGGAAGTCCCGTCTTCACTGCCTATCCTCTTTTGCCAACTTGTTGGGTTTCGCCTGTAGATTTTCGAGTTCGTGCGACAAGACACTAGACATAAATCATCATGGGCAAAATCGAAATCTTCTTGAGTCTTTTCATTGGTCGAACAGCATATGCTCATGTTCTCGCTCCTCACACTTCGTTGCATGATCTAGTCCGGTCCAGTTGACCACATTGAGGAAGATCATTGGTGATGGTAGGCGGCAACCTTGTCTTACCTGTCAACCTATCTTCACTTCAATGGCATCACTAAGCTTTCCACTGTGAATCACTTGGCATATAGCCTTGTCATATGGCTGTTGAATGAGATTAATAAAAGTTTGTGTCACTAAAGACGTAGTGTTGAAGCAGTTTACAAAGTACTTCTCCGTCGACGCTGTCGATGAAGTTGAGGTTGAGTTAACTGGCATTCTATACTCTCTTCTATGATGATGCGTAGCGTTGCAATTTGATCCGCACATGATTTATTCTTCCTGAAGGCAGCCAGCCTGTTCCAGTCGTAATTTTGAATCCAGAGCAGTTTTTATTCTCTAGTTCACTTAGTTACTAGTCGATCCTAAGCCCGGATAAAAAGGAAAGGTTGAGCATAGGGCTAGCAACTGTACCCGTAAAACCAATCCAATCGCTAAAGAAACTTCGAAGCTCATCAAAATTCTTATCGTTTCAATTGATATTTGTATATTATATTTTTCTCGTCTTCTATGGTAATATATCGTATGTTAGTGATTACCACTGGTTTGTGTGCCAGTCTGATTCTGAAAAAACAAAACAATCGGTTGGCTCTTTCTGAGATATCCTTGATGTAGGCTAGTGTAACAAACCCTCTTGATTTGACGCAGTTTTTTCTGACTTTCTGTGCTTTGGCTCTTGAAAATAATGTTTGTACACAAGGAAAAATACCTGCACAGTGATTATGGACCCAACTTTATAAAAACGTGTTTATCAGAAGGACGGAAGACAGGGGGACTGCACTAAGATATCTCAGAAGCAGTCAACCAATTGCTTTATCGTTTCAGAATCATCAGACTAGCATACAAACCAACGATAATCACTACCAAACGATGTATTGCCAAAAGGAAGACGAGACAAATATAATTTACAAAAACTAAATGAAGCGATTGTTCACACCAGTATGTTGGAGAGTCTTGCCATCGGAATCGCTCAAAGAATTCATGAACATCAACTAACAATGAATCGATATGACGCGACTTTTTCGATTTCGATGTTCACAGATAATCATAATCATAAATTCGACTGAAAGATTGTAGAAATTTTTCAAAGAGTAGGTTTGAATGCTGGAAGAGTATTTCTAGAAGGATGTTATTCAGCAGAAATTTATTGATGTAGGCTCAACCTACAATCTACATACGAGGAAAGTAGTCATCTATCAACAAAAGGGATAAATTGGCAGATTGACTCAGTGATGGTGTACAGTGTGACAGTTTAATTTCAGTCTGAGAAAGGATATGGAATGATGTTGTTAAATTATGTCTATTGGACACTGTAACCACAGTTTCATGGGTTATTACGTCCCCCCTCCCTCCATCCGACATAATAATATGAATGTTATCATAGCTTTCTGTATTTCTTAGAAGTGGTTTTTTTACTTAAGGATTTATTCTATCTTAACAGTTAGATTTTATTCAGGTTAGATGTTAGTTAGATTCATAAAAGTACCGGTTACTTAAAAATAAATAATTTATAATGTTAGGCATGATTTAAGTTTTGTTTATATAATTGAAAGGACTAGAAAACTCTATCTTTATGTTTATTTATTTTAGAGTCAATCAGCTGTGGAGAAATTGTCTTTGACAAGTTTAGCCTTAGCACGTCTACTAATCTCGATTGTACCGCGTTTTGTGATAGCTAAAATATCAAATCCTGAGAGAGTAACAGAAATTTTTAGTAAACCATACCATAATATTGGTGTTGTGTTAATACAATTTATTGTAGTACCATCAAAATCATCGACGGTAGTACTGACTCAATCGCAACCGCAACCTCAAACACCACCACCACCACCACAACAACAACAACAACAAGAAAGGCAAACGTATAATTCTGCAGCAACAGCAAGGACTTCTGATGATAATAATTCCAAGTTGAAGGCAAAATCGATCAGTGAAGAACCAATACAAATTGCTGATCGAATCCGTTTGTTGAATCGTGTTATCCACTTGGTTGATTCACTTGCCGTCGGACAAAAAACCACATCTCAACAGTCTTCAACACAGTCGACTGCTGCTAATGATGAAGCGAAACCAAGCCGAAACAAAGAAGAGAAGGAGAAAGACAGTACTGGGGATAAAGTGTTTGGGCTTTCATCATCATCGTCGTCAACATCTACTGACTCATCATCAACAACTAACTTTAATTTGCTTAAAATTTATGCTGGAGGCTCTATGGTCGGTTATGCTACTGGTATTGAAGCGATTGATGATGCGGTAAGTGAATAGGTTCAATGAAATTGCGAATGGTGAATACTAAGTTGAAATCAATAAATAAATTGCCACAAAACCCTCCTAATTGAATTAGTGTGACTTGCTACGAGATGAGATTTCTCCAGAGGAGGAGTCATAGCCGGTAGGGCGAACCCAGTTGGGCTAAGAAAACAGGTAGTCGACAATGACACTGGAGAAGGAAATGTGAACGATTAGATACCAACCCAGTTGCTGGCTCTATGGTAACATCCTGACCGCGGGTTCAATCTTTGGTGGTCCGGTAACATGAGTACGCACTGCTGAGGAGTCCTTTACTGGGACGTAATACCTGTTCAGTCCCCTTACGTTTCCTAAAGCGATGAATATAAAGAAGATTAAGAAGGAAACAAGAGTCACATCTAAAGTTGATGACAGCAGCTTAACTAATTATAATGAAATCGAAAATAAACTTGTGAAAGTGTATGACGGTAGTAAGAGAAGAGGTCGGACATAAGTCATCTGCAGGATCAATTGGGCTTGAATTCGTAAACTGTCAGTGTTTACGACATGGTGCACAACTTTCGAAAGCCTTCTTTTTTCAAAATATTCTCTTTGATACTTGAAGAGGGCTCTAACTGTATGTCCAAAGTTGACCAAATGTTCAAGTAGTGAACCGTTAAATGATTTAGATTCTCCTGTCGAACATCTTGCAGGATATTGCTCAAAGATACGTTAGGTAACTGACTTCATTTTGCGGCTTATAAAACTAGCTTCACAGGAGCATATGGCTTTGTTAACTCACATTGACATCTTAGGCATAGTCTGTAGCGCAAATTCCCATATAGATAATGGTAACAATTTACAGGTTAATAGGGATTTACTTATCGACTACAGTTTGGTATTCATCATAGGCTGATGTCAGTTACAGAAACATTGCAAACCTGAGAGAACTGAGATGGTGATTCGTTCCAGGGTGAGATTCCTCAGTAGGGTACGCACCAATGACCTTACGATTACACTACCACCACGTGATCAGTCAGCTAACCACTAGGTTTCCATCCAATTCTCTACATGTTCAACTTCTATGCGACCTCCTCCAATGCCGTCGTTCACCAACTGTCCTCTCCAACCAATCTCATTTTCCACAATGGTCACGATTTCTCATGAGAACTCCACAGAACTCTCATCCCGTAGCAAGTCAAACTAATAAGTACTAGAGAGTAATTCAGTTGAGTTACAGACATGCCTACAGTCACTCAACGACTTCATGACATCGGAGTCGTGAAATTCTATCAGAAACCAACAGCAGTCGGCAACCTGGCTCAGTGACTCGCTCAATGGTAACATGCTGGCCACCGGACATGAACCTCACTAATTCGATCTCTGACAAAGCGGGAGCTGATGGAATGCGCTTCATATTATAATGTGATTCAGCTTGAAGCTGTCTATCGTTAGATTTCAATAATTCAAAGATGAATTGTCATCATAACTGATGAGGCTTGAAGGAGTCCGAAACAGTTGGATAGCAGTACTCATCGACTTTGTATCCAAATGGTCATGAAGATTTGATTCAAATCTACTATTTCCAGGTACAAATAAGGTGGAAGTGTGTATTGCCCAGCATTCTCTCTGAAGTTTCGCCTAATCCATATTGTCTTCAGTAGACAGTGAAGGGCTTCACAATAAGAAAACATCCACCTAGATTATCCATCCCAACTACAAATATTCCTCATTATTATTTTATTTCTTGTCAATCTTTTCATCTAAAAAAGAAACTGTCACATGTTTGACTTATTTTTTGGCGAAATATCATTTTTCAGAAGATAAAGTTTTTCTGAACGATGTATATTATATATTTGCAGAATACACATTTCGAACAATCTGATCCGCCACACATTCACTACTTATTGAGTCAATTTGCACAAAACTGCTGAAGGATATGAAGATAAATTGAGAGCAATGGAGGTAATAGAGGGATTAAGATGAGAAGAAACAGGAAGAGTGGCATAGTTGATGGTTATCTTGGCAAGGTAGGTGTAGTGGAGTTCTCATGAGAAATCGTGACCATTGTGGAAAATGAGATTGGTTGGAGAGGACAGTTGGTGAACGACGGCATTGGAGGAGGTCGCATAGAAGTTGAACATGTAGAGAATTGGATGGAAACCTAGTGGTTAGCTGACTGATCACGTGGTGGTAGTGTAATCGTAAGGTCATTGGTGCGTACCCTACTGAGGAATCTCACCCTGGAACGAATCACCATCTCAGTTCTCTCAGGTTTGCAATGTTTCTGTAACTGACATCAGCCTATGATGAATACCAACTCGTAGTCAATAAAGAAATGTGTGTTCAGATTGTTCTCAATGTTTGCTGAGCAAATCATTCACACGTATTATTCAGATAAACTTCGTCTTCTGATTATGCTATGCAAATTCATGAAAGGTATTACTTATTTGAAAAATTTTTTGTCATTTCATATTAAGGCATGTCAAAATCATCATCCTGATCAATCAGCTATAACATTGCAATGGACTAGTTTGATGAAGTTTCTTGAAAAAGTGATTATTATTTGTGATGAATTGAATCAACAGAAGATGAAATTGTCGACCTCCACTTCATCATCATCGCCTTCAAGCGCACAAATTTATGTTCAAGCTGGTAAGTTCAACTTCATCAGATTATTCCTCATCATTTTATGACTACACAAGTTTGTATTGTTGAAACTTGTCAGATTTCTGGATTTGAAGGTAAGAAATATGTTTGTTTATCGATGGATCGATCAAGTATGTTTTGTTACTGAAGACTATCTAACGTATCCATGAAAGTATATAAGAGACTGTGGAGATTAGACGTTTATATTTGCGACAGTTAGGTTTGTTTTGCCAGCAGACGACATAATCTCCTGTGAGGTTAACACGTTGACGAAAATATAGCTTTCTGATCAAACATATGAGAGTTCTTGTTCTCATGTTAACTGTAAGCTGGGTGGTTTTAAGATTGATCTGAAGTGAATTCTAGTTTAAAGACCAATAGGTAAGTTATGGAATGCGTTGACCAATCCTTGTTATACGACTGTGAAACATGGCTTCTGAGAGTGGACTGTATAGTATCCGATGCCTAACTGGAGTTCGAGGACACCAAACCTGGGAGAAGCATTCAGGCTTCAGACTTGAACGAGAATACATTGATTGGATTCAAACCAATGGCTAACACTTACCATCTTTATTGACCTTAGGACAGCCCTTGACTCTGTCGAGCATGAGGTGTTGTTGCAGTGTCTGACTGTGACTTATCAAAACTCTTTACTGGAAATCAATCAGCCGTGTAAGAGCTTGTACAGAGTTATCATTTCTTTTGTTGTCACTTGTTAGGGACAAATCTGCTGTAAGTAATCCCGCTTTAATGATAGAAAGAGAAGTGGTGGAATGTGTCGACCACTTCACTTACTTGGGAAGCTACAGTAGCTCGAACGGGTTGGTTGCTGAAGAAACCTCACCTGTTTGACATTAGCAAACTTGCGTCATATCTGGTATCGAATTATCAAATATCCAACTAACCATCAAAGGACGAGTATACAGCGCTGTTGCAGTTCGTTCTGGCTTGTTGTATAGCTGTGAGATATAGCTCTTAAAAGTAGAAGTGGTCACAAGTATCTTGGTAGCATTGGTCGCATATGATTGTATCACTGTGTGATCAGTTGTGCGAGGTTACGTGAAGAGTACTAGGCAAGACAGACTGCGAAGACGATTGATGAGATTATGAACCTACATCGACTGAGATGACCTGGATCCCAGGTCCAGGGTCCTCTGGATGTGTTGAACAGAAATCTGAGTATGTTTGACATGCGTTTCGCTCGTACTTGTCAAATGTTACAAGTTTTTAACCATAGCGTATGCTGAAATCATCATGTTGATAGTGTCGACGTCATCTGAAGGGTACATAAATAAACTTCACATGCTGCACTTATGATTGGAGACTAAAATTCTCTTTTTAGACTCTTTGTCTTCCTAAAAAATGAATCAGTCTTGGCAGACGAAAGAGATCAGTCTTCATTTTGTGCCGTCAACTAAAAATGCCTTGTCTCGTCGAAATATTCAATCTCTATAAGACGTCAAGGAATGAATACATCTGCGTCACTGGGACCAATTTTCAGCCATGTTACCAAAAGTTCTGAATCTCTGATTCCTATCGTCTAGAGGATCCTAACTAGTCAGTCTCCATCTCTTAACATTGCTCAGACCAACAGTCAAGGACTTTGTCGATGGGTACCACGTCTTTATCTGGTCACACTGAACTCGCTTCCCACTTAATTCAACTTCTCCTAGCCTAGTACAATTAAGTAGGCAGTGATTTGGCTTGTTCAGTACATGTTTAACCAATCTTCGCCCATGAAGGTTCACAACATTATTTGACTTTCCAACCTGTCTTGCCCTGTACCCTTCACCCGATCTCAACATTTCTCACACAGTGATTCCAGAAAACGTGAGGTATGCTACGAAGGGACCTTTGGTCTTCCACTTTTAACATCCATGAAGGCCAGCCGTATAACAGGAGATAAAGCGAACTACAGCACAGTATACTCGTTCTTTGATAGATAGTCAAATATGTCGTTAGTCGGAGTCATATATGATCAAGCTGAGGTTTCGGTAGGAACCAGCCTTATTCACGCTGATACAATTCTCCAAAAAAGTGAAGTGGTTGACATATTCTACCACTTTAGTACTTATCATTAAACTGGGAGTACTTGCAGAAGACCATTTCTGGAGTACCATCTTACATTCGACAGTTGCGAGCGAAATGCATACTAAACATACTCAGATTTCTGCGCAACGGGCCCTGAAAACTCTCCAACTCATCCGCGTTGACACAGTCGTCTACGTGCTCTAAGTCAGCCAGACGACGTCCACAGAATAGGTCAAACATGCTTATGGTTATGTCTATTATTACAGCTATTAAGAAGTTGAACAATAACGATAATAGTGGGCATCCTTGGGAGTCACCACTAGTTTGAACATCAGTTCAGATGACAACTCTACATAAACCTTGAGTAGAGAGAACTTTGATAAGCGTTATTTACTTAGTCGATAGTCGTTTCACAGTCAGACAGTGCCACAACACTTAAAGGTCGATGGAGTTAAATTCCGTTTTCTTGTCAAGAAATTTGGGCAAGTATCAGCCGTCGACCGGTAAGTGATTAAAACGAAATGAGACATCTTTGTTGACATTTCGCAATAGAGTATGCCTCTACGGATGGGAAACCCTCAAAAGTGAAGCTGTTATATTTTCCTTATTTATAATATATAATAATAATAATAATAATAATAATAATAATAATAATAATAGTAATAATTCACACACTTCTGAGATATATCTACTTTTCTCTTTATAACATTTAGCACTTCACACGGGATCATGTATCCTTGGTTTTGTATCGAATCAACATCCGGTTTTTACTATGTGGGGTGAACCATTGGAAATATGTCGTCAACTTTTATCGAAACATCAATTGACTCATTTAAATTCACAACATTTTCTATTAACAACAGATGAGTTGATCAGTTCAATTCCAGTGAATATATTAAACTCTTCATCAATTCTTCATCATTCAACTTCCTGTCAACCTATATCATCTAATCTAAATAATATTAATAATAATTTGTTATATCAACCATCATTTACATGGTGTACTGTTGATCCTACAAATGGAAAGATTATCTTATCATCACAACTTCAACGTCCATTATCATTGGTGAAAGTGTTGAATAGTCGACCTCCATATATTGATCGATTACTTCATTTTTGTAATGTTCGCTTGAACAGTAATAATGAATCTTATTCAGAGATAATTACTGCTGCTGCTACTGTCACGGATCCAAGGAGACCGGTATGTTCTTTGTTCAATATGTACAATCTGCCTACTGCTATGATGTCACCTAACATAACTACTACTGCTACTTCTACTACCGATGTACCAGTACTATTACAAGCTGGTAGTAATAAAAAACAGAATTATGTAAGTTGGTAATAATGATATACAATGCAATGTTAAAATTAATGTCTTGCCAACTCAATAATTTACTTTAGAGATTGTTTCAATCATAATTAATTGAGATGGTTTTGACAAGTATTGCGCATGCCTGGCTACCGCCTACCTCGACGTGCGCTGCTGTGGGAAGCTGGATCAGGGTTGACTTAGGGTTCAGAGTGAGGAGACGAAGACCAATCGATGGAGTCCTTGACTATTAGTATGTGCTATGTGCAGTGATGTAGACTACCTGGTTGGGGTTCGCGAGACGAATGGAATCAATGGTTGAGGATTCTTGGTGGTATGGCTAAACATCGGTGACAATGGCATAGATATATTCACTCCTTGATACCTTCTGAAGCTTCAATCGTTATCCTTCAGATTGTTTATTCTCTCTCTCTCTCATACACACACACACATACACGCAAGGTGTTGAGTCAATTTTCATCAGGATCAGAGTACACTAGTTAACTCAGCTCAATACAGTATAGTAAAACATTGTGTTTTATATTTCACAGATGTCTTCGTAGCATTGCTCGAATTTCGGTGGAATCACCATGTGAACAACGTTGAGTTCAGATGAAGGGTAATAGGCAAGACAGGCTGGCAAGTCGATTGATGACGTTTTGAGCCTTTTTCTTTACCTGAAGTGGCTTGAATATCTGGTTGGCATACCAATCCACCACCCAACCTCTACCTAACATTGAAGGGGCAGTTGAATTGGGTTGTAAGAGGGTTTAGGGTGACCAGAACAAGATGTTGCACCAGTCGATGAATTCCTTCACTGTTGATTTAAGTCATATGGCAGAATGTAAACTACGTGGCTGGCGTCGTCGAGATGACAGGAATCAATGGTTGTGAGGATTCTTGGTGTGATATAGCCTAAAATCGATGACATGGGCAACTTGAGGTGGTCCACTTTTGTGCGACTTTCAGAGTCCCGACTGAACGTACAGATAACTGTGATCGCCTACTACAACTAGGCTCAGATAACCGCCTATTTTTTGCTAGCACTAAAGACGTGTTCAGTGAGAAGTTGGCTAGACAGTTATCGGGATAAAAGACTCACTCATCCAGAAGAAGCTTGGTGCCATCTCCAGTTTACTGTTAAAACAGCATTGAAGACCGTAGCCGACTCCAAAATAGTGGCTAAAAAGAGCCAGTGGATATCAGCAGCTTCTTCTCAACTAATGGATGCACGTGAACACGTCCTTACAGGCTCTGAGTACAATGAAGAGCGAGCGCAACTTAAAAATAGATTGAGTAAAAGTCTACGCAACGACCGCAAACAGTGCTGGGCAGCGAAGGCTAAAGAGATGGAAAAGGCAATGGCGATTGGTAATAGTAGACAGTTACTTAGACTCATTAAGGAGACTGGGGGGAAAAGGTCAACAACAGTTAATGAGGTTATAGCAGAGAAGGACAGATCTGCGATTCACTCGCAGAGGAGACGACTGGAACGATGGACAGAACACTTCGAGGAACAGTTTAACCAGCCTCCAGCCACCATTGCGTTGCCTGCTATCCAGTCGAATCCTGAGTGGAACGTTAAGATAGGACCCCAAACACTAGCAGAAGTCGAAAAAGCAGTAGGTAACCTGAAATGAGGAAGGGCAGCAGAACTAGACAGACTAACTTCTGAGGTATACAAGGATGGTGGTGAGATGCTCTTAGTCAGGATAACGGAAGTGTTAACCAGTATATGGGAATCAAATACGATCCCCTCTGACAGGTCTGAATCATTGATTATCCCAGTTTTCAAGAAAGACGAGAAGTCCTCTTGTCATAACCACAGAGGAATCGGCCTGACGAACATAGTGTCCAAGATCCTAGGTTCTATAATTCTTCAACGCCTGAGTTGCGCTCGGGAACAGCAAGCCCGAGAAAATCAGGCAGGATTTAGACCCGGCCGCGGGTGTATTGACCAAATATTCACACTCCGCCAGGTCCTCGAACATAGGCACGCTAACTGACGCCCAACAATTGCTGTATTTGTCGACCTGAAGGCGGCATTTGACTCCTTTGATTGAGAAGTCTTATTGCAATGCCTCTCACTGAAAGGCGTACCGAGTAACTACATCACCTTATTGAAGGCTCTCTACTCGAACACTTGTGAATGTGTTAGAGCTTATGGTGAGATGTCCAGGGAGCTATGCTCATCGAGTGGTGTCCATCAAAGATGCCCACTGTCTTCATTCTTATTCAATTTATCATAGATATTCTTATGGAGGTCTCCCTCTCGTCACCTGATTACACAAAAGTTGACCTGATCACAGGAGAATTTTCGTTAGCCCTTGAATATGCAGATGACATAGTCCTGTTAGGTGAAGACGCTGATAAGATGCAGAGTCTTCTGAACACTTTGAGTGGGGATTTGAGAATGTTTGGGATGCATTTCTCACCACACAAATGCAAATGTTTGCTCCAGGATTGGTCTTCAATGGTGCCTCGCCTGACAATAGAGAGTGAAGTGGTTGAGTGTGTTGACCACTTCACTTACCTGGGAAGTAAGATCAGCCTCGCCCTGGTGGCTCAGTGACCGATGAAATCTCTGTACGGATACAAAAGCGTCGGTTGGCTTTTGCCAATTTATGCCACCTATGGCGCTGCTGTGATATCCTTTTGTCCTATTAAGAGTCACGTGTACTGCATATCAGTCCGGTCTGTTCTACTGTATGACTGTGAAACAAGGCCATTGAAAGTGGGAAACAAGAGACGGCTTCAAGTGTTTGATTACCGTTGTCTTTGTAGTATAGGCCGTATTCCGTGGTGTCACCACTTGAGTAATGCTGAAGTCAGGCTAAGAGTTTTGGGAGAAGAGATAAGTCAGTCGATATGGTTGTGAACCTTCATCGACTGGGATTGTTGAGACATGTGTTACGTATGCCAAGTTGCCGATTGCCTCGTCACAATGTTGGCCGAAGTAGATTCAGGCTGGTAAAAGGCACGAGGCGGACAGACTAAACATGGCACTAATGTATGAAGTCTTTTATTGTTGGTTTGAGCGATGTGGGGCGATGCAGACTAGGTGGTTGGGGTCAGCGGGACAAGAGGAACCAGTGGTTGAAGACTCTAAGGGATATGGCTGGGAACCGATGTCAATGGCGCAGATGTATACACACATTATCCTCCTCTTAACGATGCTATACCGAATCTCACCATTTTGTCATTCTTCGTCCTTTCTTTCTTCTCGTACTTTGTATTTCTTCTTACTGAATTTTCTTATCTTCATCTTGTGCTCCATTGCCTTTTTACTTGATGTGCTGATATGAAGTGTGGCAAGTTGGACCATGAAGCAGTAATTCCTGGTCTTATGTTGATATTGATTTGATTTCTTGTTGCTGATTGCTTATGTGCGAAGTTCCACGTTGATTTTGTCAGTCAGTCAATCAGTCACATCCGAACAGCTTTGTAAGAAAATTCTTTTTCTAGAATTCCCAACATTTTAAGAGAATGGTTGATCGCTTTCGTATTTACCTTTCCGACTATCTTATTGACTTCAGGTTGATTGTTATAGGTTAACAATATTTTTGTTTGGGCTATGTTTTCAATAGTGTAGTCACTCGGCTTTCTACTCATTGATTATAGATTCGAATTACATTTTATTTACGGAGAGCTTGCCAGTCAGGTAGTATCATTAGGTTACGTTTATGTTTCTTGGCGCTTTGCTGAGTGTCATAGATTTCTTTACGAAAGAGATTTAATGATATTGTTTGTCGTCTTGTCTCCTAAAAATGGATCGGACAATTAGTACTTTCTAAAATACAGATGGATAGATAGACAAGATGAATGTAAAAGGTTGGATTACTCTTTCACAGTTCAAGTTGCCATACTTTAAAGAATGAGGCAGTCAAAAGCGGTAGAAATTCGTAATGAAATAACTAAGATCAATATGAATATCCTGTGTGTGTGTGTGTGTGTGTGTGTGTGTGTGTGTGTGTGTGTGTGTGTGTGTGTGTGTGTGTGTGTGTGTGTGTGTGTGTGTGTGTGTGTGTGTGTGTGTGTGTGTGAAAAACTACTGACCACTGAAGGAGAGTTTCCATACATACTGAAGTAGTAATAAAATCTGCTTAAAACTTCTAGTTGGAAGCAGCAATGTGTATCAACACACAAAGCTTGAATACATCTGCGTTATTGTGATTGATTTTCACCCATGTCACCAAGAATCATCAACCACTGATTCCTACTATGCAGTCCACATCGCCCAATACGGCTCTGATCAGCTATGAGGGACTTCAATCATAGACGTCACCTTTTGCTCTGGCTAACGTGAACCCTCTTCTAACCTATTCTAACTTTCGTTAAGGTAGGGGGTGGCTTGACATGTGCACTATTTGTTCAAGCCATCTCAGCCTTTAAAACTTCACAACCTTATCAATCGACTTGCCTGTCTTTCATAGTGCCTTCCACCTGACCTCAGCTCTGCTCACATGGTGATGCTACCAAACGTGAGCTATGCTGAGAATACGCCTACAACCGAAAACGTGTAACTTCTTCGTAGTGAAGTATACTCGTCCTTTGGTAGATAGGCAAATATCTCGTCAGTTGAAACCACAGATGATGCACGTTGGCAAACGACAAAATGACGTGTATTGGAGCTGAAATTTCGTCAGCAACCAGCCCATTCAGCCTGATGCAATTCACGAAGGAAGTGAAGTGGTTGACACCTCCCACTACTTCATTCCTTATCACTGAAGTGGAATTCACGTAAACGACTCGTTCAGAATCATAGTTTTTCAACTTCTACGAGTAAATCTTATTTGTGCAACAACGTGATCATCTTTGAAATATTCGTTTCCTTCCTATTGTATTATATATTTTCCGACTCTGTCAAAACTACAAGCCTATAGATCTCTACTCACTGTTGTGTTTGCCAGGACACTTCCACAACAACATCAACTGACTTTCTTCCCCATATTGAAACTCCTCAGCTGACTTCTGCGTCGCTGATTCGGTGACACCACGACACATGGCCTATGCTACGAAGGAAATGACGGTGAAATACCAGAAGGCTTCTCATGATGATTTACGATCAGTATAAACAGTTCGTTTACTGGCGCCGAATTTTTTGACCTTCTATTATATCCCCATGTTTTCTTGTTTCAAGAGTTAAGTGGTTAGTGACTCTAGGATCTGAAAACCTTTCTTCAGCTATGCAGTGTATGGTAGTTGGTAACGGTTACTACCTGGTTGAGACTTATGTTTACCGTCTCTCACTGCTCCTTCGCCACCCTACCCTATTTAATTGTATTGGGATTTTCTAGTTGAAAAAACATGTAGTCAGTTTTTCACAAATAAGACGACATAACTTAAGAAATACGGTATGGTTTTTTTCTTCTGTCTTTGGTGTTTTATTTTGCTTTTTGTTGAAATTTATTTATTGTTTGGTGTTTTTTTGTATAAAATAAAACTCATCCTATCGTTATTGTGCAAAGGTGGAGGATTCAACAAACTTCGATACGACAAATCATCAGCTTACGACGAATGTTTCCCGTTTACCTGTCGTCGGTGTTCGTCATAATAACAATAATACTACTACTAATGATAATGGTGAAAGGAGACTATCAACTTCCATTCTTACACTGAATCCATTAAATTCTGTTGCATCCAATCCTATCCGATTAGTAGTGATGCCGTCAACAACTGTCGCATCACTGACAAATGTTCCAGAACTCGATCAGTATCCTCGACGTACAAGTCAGTTGTTAACTACTGTGAGTATTTTGTCGACTCCACAAACCACACAGTGTCAACTCTTACCTCCTCCACCACCGCCGCCAGCGCCACCGCGGCCACCTCATCAACGAGCTTATCCTTCAACTAGTAGGATTACAGACGCTCCACTTCCTTCACATACTCTAACACTTATGTCATCAGTAGTAACAATGACTGGAGACAATACCAATGGTGAGTGTATTACTAATGAAAATAACCGTGAAAATAATGATGATAATAATGGTAATGCTGAAAATAATGTTTTGCCACAGTTTTTCGAGAATAACTCTTAATAGAATGATGGGAATCATTATTATTACTTTTCCTTTGGGTTCTTAGTGGAACATAGAGCTTCAGTAGCACGTCTCCATTTCACTCTCTTCTCTCTAGTCTCTCGAACCTGTCTCCACGACTGGCCAAAAGCTTTCATTTCTTCCCCACACCCTGTCACCCTCGGACACCCAACTCGTCGTTCCCCCTTTGTATTCCACTCGACAGCGTGGCGTGTGATATCCCCAAATGGTCTTCTCAGTGAATGATGGGGATGGGCACCAAAAATCTAACACCTGAACTATAAGTTGTTGCGAATGATTTTACTTGAATGCTGCAGAGAAATGTATTTTAAAGGTATGGTTCCATTGAGTAAGGCATCTCATTGTCTAGGAATTGGCTTTGTGATAGAACCCTGTTCTATAGACTTCATCTTGAATAGTATCAGAAGACCACACACAACAAGTTTGGCCGGCAATTAGTTGATCAGTGGTAAGTTAAATGCTTTTCTACATGTTAATTGTGACAGTCATGGCATTATGACTTCCGCGACAAAGACAAAGGTTGAAGGTACTTTTTGTGGACATATAGAGCTGGCTTGAACTTTTTAATGACTAGTGCTTCAGCGTTACCGAAATGCCTTGACCTCTCTCCCTTCGAATGGTTTGATCAAACCGTGTAAAAAATTTTGAATAAGTTCTTAAGAAAAAGCTGAGTGGTCTATGTTATTCAGTGGAAGATGCACTTCGTTCTACCTTCGCTAACCAGGTTGAACAGTGTTCACCCGCACATTTTACAAGCGGACGCATGGTTCAGGTGTTGTACTCCCTCCACACGAGCAGATAAACTGGTATGCACATATTAGTGTGACTCATTACGTCAGCTTGTCTTTGATACATTGACTGAAACGTTTCTTGCTGTAGAAAATGATCCGAAGATTGGCGATGAAGTATGTTATATTCAAGGATCATTGTCAGTCGTTTTCTGAGGATGTGTGTTCTTTCGGCTTTATGCTTCTACCTACGAATGTAGACAGGAAACCGTTCTCTACTAGCCTTCTTCGAAGATTTTACATTTCTCCGTCAGTAGTGTTGTCAATGTGTATTTTCTTGATCGTCGAGAACAGTGAATGGATATGTTTTCTCTTCGTGCTTAGAGGGAGGGACTAAACTTAGAATAATAATGGTGAACTTTAGCAGACCGGTAGTTTTTTCGGGATGAATATACTACTGACAAGTTGTGGTAAGTAACACGTGAATTGAAGACAGGTAAGTTGATTGACGAGGTTATGAACCTTAGTCGACTGAGATGGCTTGGAGATGCAGTGTACATACCGAGACACCTATCTCGACGTGCCATGCTGTGGGGAGGGGGAGGGGGATTGTATTATGTTGGGAGAGGATTCAGTATGGTTAAACTATACGTGGTATCAGTCGAAAAGGTCCATGACTGCTGGTGTGAGCCATCTGGGCTGCGACGTCCCCCCTCCCCACAAGTATAACTCATCAACCGAATGTGTAGATATCGTGTACTTGACTATGGATCAGAAATTTCGTGGTGCATGGAACGAGGTGGATTGGATTATACATCGTGCATACTAAGGGGCCGACTACCTTGACGTACACTGCTAGATGAAGTTGGATTAGGTTAGTAGAGAGTTTCGAGTGGCCAAATCATGATATGGCATCAGTTCATAGAGAGAGGTGTAGATTAGGTGGCTGGACTCAGCGGTTAGGGTTTAGATATCTAAAGATTCAGCCCCATCCAAGGAACAGTGTACACTTAGTCTTACGCATTCATGAGTCACCAGGAAACACGTAAATTAGATTAAGCTCAGTTTTCTATGTTATCTACTCCAATAATAACCCTTAATATTTAATGTTTGTTACTTTTTAACTCCTTTTTCTCTTTTTTGTTCTCCAAGAAAACAGCCATCTGTCTCCTCTTCAAACGTCATCACCACAATCAGGACATTTTATCACAGATAGAATGAATACACGAAATATTATGAATAGTCAAGGTGTAAAGCCTATCAGACCGAACAGTTATTGGCCAGTTCCTGATGAATTGCCATCTGATAAATTACAGAGTCATCACGACAGTATTTCATGCAAAGAGGTAAGGATATATAGTAATATTAATAATCTCTTTTTAGATCCTAGATATCTACAGTTTTCTGTTTGAAACTGTAATATCCAACTGTTTTTGTTTGAATTGAGTAAGGACTCTTAGGTCTGCAAACAGAACTTTTCACATTAGATTGTTTTGATTCGGGGGTTTAGTGATTTCTTTTCCAAGTTGGTATTCATCATTGACTGACATCAGTTAGAGGAACATTGGAAACCTGGAGGAACTGAAAAACAGCTGTTCCGTCCTGTTATGGGACTCCTCAGCAGTACGCACCCCATGACACCACCCCCACCCCACCAGAGATCGAACCCACGACCTTCAGATCTCCTGTCTAGCACGTTACCGTTGAGCCATTCGATCAGAATCCACTGGTCCATACTTCCAATTTCTGACAGTTCACGGCATAGCACGACCATCCCTCAACATCACTGTTGGGTATTTGTCCTCACTTCCGCCAGGTTTCCCTCATCGATCACGACTTCTCATTGGAACTTCAGGAATCCCCTCTCGAAGCCATTCACGAATAAGCACTAGATCAATTTAATTTTGGGGTTTGTGGGGATTTAGTGATTTTTAAAGGTGGTTACTCATCACGAACTGAGATCAATCGGAGAAACACTAAAAACCTGAGAGCATTGAACATTTGTTTCGTCCCAGTGCTAAACTCTTCAGCAGTGCACGTCCATGATCGAAACCATTACATTCATGTCTCGCAGATTCATTGATAACCTGTCTTCATGTCTGATTTGGTTTACCTCATGAGTTGTGATTTATCATTCGAACTCCGATGAATCTCATCTCGAAGTATTTCACCGATAAATGCTGCGTAGTAATTCGATTTGGAGGTTTGGTTAGTCTTTGTCGCATCGTTGTTATACAATGGAACTACTGTGTAATCAACTCAGGACTCTGTGATCTATATTAGTTAGTGAGATTGGCAAACGCTGCATGAACTCAGATAGATACAATCGATATTACGTATACTGAGTACCCGTCAACTGTGAACATTCTATATCATATTGAATGAAGAGTGAAGACAGTCATGTGACAGTAATCTATAATTGGTAATATTCTCGTCGGAAAACCTGAAGGTCTTCGGTTCAACTCCAGATGCGTTAGGGTCATAGTTGTGGACTGCTGTAATCCGGTTGAACCTACTCTGCTAGTAATCACACTGCTGTCTGATCACATTCATTTCTTCTACTTGCTCTTTGTTATTTGGATGTAGGTAGCTAGGTTTCGCGCTGATTGGGACTCAAAGGTGTATCTGCAACCTCGACGGCACTGATGTCTCGCTTGAGATTAAAACCCACGCCGCTCAGTGTTGCAGTCAGTATCATTACCACTGAGCTATTCGGGCTGTGATTGGTCTCCCATAGGATGGGATTAGGTACATTGGTTGGTCGTCGCAGGGTGGTATCCAATGACTCAGTGTCAGGTGAGGTGTCAGTGTCGTTGCAGTTGTTCATACGTCTTGATGACGATCCCTAACAAAAACCTAACCTGGGTGATACGCAGGACTTCCTGCCGATTGCCTCCATCCAACTAACGTCTATCTCAGTGGATGGTTATGATGAGTTTCCTTGCTTGGTGGCCACTTTTGCACAAATCTGGTCAGCATCCTGGACTAGACAACATAAAGTTGGTTCCACACCATTCAGTCTCCTTCAATCATTACCTGTATCCTAGTTTTTTGTCCTTGTGTTGTAATGTTGAATGACTACTAACTAACCTGAACTTGCAGATATTCCTACCAACTGATTTCCACCATTTAATGTGTACTTCCTTTTTGATTATCTCATATTTCAGAGATTGGAACCTACTTCCTTCCTCTGTGTAAGTTTGATATCAGGCGAACGATACTAGGCAAGGCAGGCACGCCGATTGATGGTTTGTGAACCTTTAACGGCTGAGATAGCTTGGGCGTGTACTGCACACATACCAAGCCACCGACACCCTCGACGTACAATCCTAGGGAAGCTGAATTAAGTTGTAAGAGAGTTCAGGGTGGTCAGAAAAAGGTGTGGTACCGGTCTGTAACTATTAGTCAGTCGTGTGAGGAGATGTAGACTATTTGGCTGAGGCCTCCGTGTCGATAGGCTTCAGGGGTTGGGGACTCTTTGGTGATATGACTGGAAACCAGTCACAATCTATCCACTTGTTTTTTATATACTACTGTGAAGTGTAGCGACTTGAACTGATACACTTGTATACGACGTTCTACGTTCACCTTATTTGTTTGCCTGCCCGTCTGTCTCTGCCTCCCTACCTCCTTGTCTATCTGTCTGTCGTTAAGCGCTATAGTTACCGTGTTTATTGAAGTCTACAAATCTCCTATGTGGCACATCGTACAATAATGTTACTGAAAAGAAGAGGCAAATTGAATTCTTTTATTCAATCATTCAGTATGAAAACACTATCACACAAGTATTTTATCTTTGTTTTTCTTTTTGTTATTTGTAGAAATTAAACAGACCTATCTCTGTTGGCATAGTTAAACGATTCGATGGGATGATGATGAATATTTTAGGCAATCGGGAAAAACCATCCAATTGTCTTCGACCAACATCACTTTCATCAACTGATTCATTTTTAGTCGCTGAACGTGTATGTGCCGCTTACGCCTCTGAAATTGACGAATCAAAGGATGAGGAGGTTACTACTACCACTCGTACTACTGATAATAATGTTAGTAGTCAAAATGATAATACTCAAAAATTGAATATTCGTAATTCCCAATCGATTTACAATTGGAGTCATGTACAAAGCGCAATTGATAAACTTTCATCCGTTCAGTATTATAATAACAAGAATACTAACCACAGTAATGATAATGCCAATAATAATAACGATTTTGATGATGAAGAGGAGGATATTGAAGATAAGAAAAATAATATGATAAACCCTGATGCTATAAGTCATCATAACCCTTTATACACTGATAATGAGTAAGTTTTCACATTTACACTGTTTTAGACTACCCTTTTTAGCATAGTCTAGTTCACCATGCATCACATGTTGCATCCATAGTAATTTGATGCCCACCTGGAGCTGAGGAACAGCAACTCTCGAGAAAACTAGGTAGGTTTTAGACCCGGACGAGGGTGTATCGATCACATTTCTACCCTTCAACAGGTTTTGGAAGACTGACATACATACCCGCCGCTCTTACTTGTCATATTTTTTGACCTGAAGGTAGCATTTGACTGCTGTAACTATGAGGTGTTGTGGCAGTGTACGATCGTGAATGGAATACCGAGCAAGCATATAATACAAATCAAAGCTCTTTACTCGAACTCAAGCAGCCGTGTTAAGGACATATAGACCATTGTTATGTGAACTGACGACATCTTATGGTGTCCACCAGGGATCTCCACTGTTAGTCACCATTCCTGTTCAATTTCGCTATAGATGTATTAATGGACATAACCGTAGGCACCTCTTACTGAGTATAATTGGTATGCTTTTCTGTCGCAACTGCTGAATGCGACATGCATGATAGGGAGGATACTGGTGGAATCTATCGACGACTTTACTTATTTGGTAAGTTACATCACCTCGAAAGGGGGAAGGGATTATTGACAAAATCCCAGCTCAGATAAAAATACATCCATTTGGCACTTGCCAATTTGCGTCATCGCTGATGTCGACTGGTGAGATATCCTACCACACATCAAAGGAAGAGTACACTTCTTTGTTGTTCGTTCTGTCTAGTTTTAAGGTTGGAAGACATAGCCGCGGAAAATAAATGGACTGAAGGGTTTCGACTATACGTGTCACATGATTGAGAATCGGTCAGAGTGGCAGGGATTTATTCAAGAGCAATTCCTTTTGCTTTGATATCACTCTTTCTCTATCCACTTTTTCTTTGTATACTACTATGAAGTGTATCTACCTGAAATGATTTATTTGTGTGAAACGTTCTACTTGGAATTTGTCTGTTTTTTCAATAGTTTCTAGGGTGAACCTCGAAGTCACTTCTTCCTATGTGCTTCGTTGCTTCAATATAGCAACAAGTCCTTATTGTTCCATGCACTTATGCGTGAGTAGTTACCGACTTAATTATATGCAAGACGGTGTTTTTCTGGTCGTTTCATTGGCATTTCGGTCAGCTATGCACCTACTAATTTGAATGACATGCTAACAACACAATAATTTACAAATATACGCATACCATAACAAAATGAAGGCGATAAGACAGCTTTTTAACGCCAAGGCATCAAAGTTGAAATTAATGTATCTTCAGAAAGTCTTCTACAGACTGCTTCTTTACAAGTTTCCACGGTTAGGCTACTTGCTGATTGATCTAATCGGTCATGATCAGGTTTATTATTCCCTTCTTATGGATGGATCTGTGAGTCGCCGGTTCAAACTCTTCTCCGTCCACGGAGGTTTAAACAGTCAGGTAATAGGCGTGATTGATTACCGCCTATTGCATAAATGTGCTCAAGATTGCTAACTGTATTTTGATTCGATTTTAACCAAGGTCTGAGCAACTGCGTACTACCATTATACTCTTAGTTCATTTAAAATTGGGACAGATTCCTCCCCCCCTCCCCCTCCTCCTCATGCCCGTTTTCTCTGCATCATCAGTCTTTTTTACTTTTCTCGTTTTTGTCAAAATCACAGATATGAATCGATGGCGGAAAGTCAAGGCAACCTGTTAGATATTGTTGATCATCCTATTTCATTCTCTGGTAATAAATCAATATCAAATAACAGTAATGATAATAAAGTCAACAGAATATCTCATTCAGCATTATTTGCCACGCTGTCACATATTGATCCTCGAGATAGATTTGTACACCAGCCGTCAACAGATCAGACAGAGTGTACAACGCAGAAAGTGAACATTTCAAATGATGATGATAAGAATGTAAATTTTCAAATGAGCGTCAATAAATCATCTGTATTTCGTTCAGTAGTTAATCCGACGTCAACTTCTGTCATCGGTACAAATTTCCTAGGAACTACTCATCAACTGACGAACAATATGCCTTTTCAGAGTGCGAATCAACCCTTACAAAGGTAGGTTTTGTTCTCTATCTCACTCTCTGCTGTTTTTTATAGGGGGGGGGGGGAATTCTTGAGTTATATAACCTACTATCCTTTCTTATGTCTCAATTCGTTCCTAGCTACGAGTTAAAAGTGTTGAGAAATGATATTTCTTTTCAATATAATTTATATTCTGCATTTTTCCTCACTTTTTGGGTTTATTTCCCTCCGATATTCCTCGATGACTGACAAAATCAACGTGGAACTTCGCACACAACTGTATCGACTCCGATGAACAGTCAGGGACTTCATCGACTGGTGCCACATCTTGTTCCGGTCACCCTAAACCCTCTTACAACCCAATTCAACTGCCGCTTCAATGTTAGGTAGAGGTTGGGTGGTGGATTGGTATGCCAACCAGATATTCAAGCCACTTCAGGTAAAAGAAAAAGGCTCAAAACGTCATCAATCGACTTGCCAGCCTGTCTTGCCTAGTACCCATGGTGATTCCACCGAAATTCGAGCAATGCTACGAAGACATCTGTGATCAATATCCAGTAATCGCTTCGTATCTTTGAATTTTAAGCACCATATCTCGCAGGCATATCACAAAGCTAAAAGCAAAGCTGCAGTACATTGTTGAGGCTTCTTGAAAACAACTTGTATACCAAGAAAAAGATGTTATTAATTGACGCAGGGATTTTGGAGTTGGCAGTGAGTGGGATACTGACTTGATGGTCTATCAGTTAAGTTAGGAGGCCCAGCTGTACTTACTGAGAACTACTGTCTACCTCGATGTGTCGTTCTAGGAGAATCTGGATTAGTCTGGAAGAGGGTTAACTAACGGTGGCCAGACGAATACGTGACACCAGTCGACGAAATCCTTGACTGTTAGTCTGAACCATGTTGGGCGATGTAGACTGTTTGGTTGGGGTCTACGATACGATAGGAATCAGAGGTTGAGGATTTCGACGGGACAGTGGCTTTTTTAATTGATGGTACAAAATAAAGACTGATTTCTTTCATCTGCCAAGACTGATTCATTTTTAAGGGAGGCAAAGAGTCTAGAAGGAAAATTTCAGTCTGCAATTATATTTGCAATATCTCAAGTTTATTTATGTGCCCTTCAGCTGGCGTCGACACTACTAATTTGGCTATTTCAGCATATACTAGCGATGTAAGAATGATACTTATGGTTAAAAACTTGTTGAGAGAAACGCATGCCATAGAGACTCAGATTTCTGTTCAACCCGTTCAGAAGACTCAAGGCAACATATATCCATGCCATCTCAGTCGATTCAGGTTCTCATCAATCGTCTTGCCGGTCTGTTTTGCCTAGTATTCTGCGCCTAATCATACAGTTTTCGCTTATGGTGATCCCAGCATACACGAGCATACTACGAAGACATATGTTACCACTCCATGTGTTCTACTTTTAAGAGCTATATTTCGTAGCCGTACAATAAGACAGAACGGACTGCAACAGCGCTGTATACTCGTCCTTTGATAGATAGCAGGATATCGTCAGTCGATACCACAGGTGATGCAAGTTGACAAATGGTAAACAGGCTTTTTGTATCTGAGCTGAGATTTTGTTAGCAACCAGCCTGTTCGTGCTGATCGAGTGGTTGACACATTCCACCAGTTCACTGCCTACCATTAAAAACTGGGATTGCTTGCAACTGACGAATCCCGCGCCATTATTTTACATTTGGTAGGTGCTAAACGCATGTCAGTTATACACAGGTTGCTGCTCAACTCGTGCATAAGGCTCTGGATTTTGTCGGCTTCTTCACTTGTCAGGACAATATTGTGCGGATACTCCAAGTCAACCAGATGACCTCCAAGGAATAGGTCAATCTCTGTGAAGTCAGATGTACCTAAGGTTATGTCCATTAATACGTCTATGACGAAGTGAAATAGGAGCGGTGACAGTGGGGATTCCTGGAGGGCAACACTAGTTGTCGTCAACTCCTTCGACAGCTCTCAATTTAGCCACTCGCGGCTGCGTGATTTCGAGTAGAGAGCTTTGATTAGTGTTTTACACTTACTCGGTGCTTCCTTCACTGTGAGACACTCCCACAACACTTCATGGTTGACAGAGTCGAATGCCGTCTTCATGTCAAGAAATAGATTCTAAGTTGGTACGGTTAGATACATAGAGAGTAAATGAACCTTTTATGCTGGAGATACCCAACCAACAACAACAAGCACTAATCATGAGGAACGGGAGAAATCTAAACGAAGTTTTCTCCTTCACTTACCCACTTACCTAGGCAGCATCGTTTCAACTACAGGCGGCGACACAGATAACGATGTCAAAGCCAGGATCGGAAAGACAGCAAGACAGGTCTTCATTCAATAGTCTGAAATCACTGTGGAGATTCACTTCACTGCACTGCACTCAGCCTGTGAAGTAAGATCCGAATTTTCAACTCTAATGTCAGTCAAGTCAGTGCTTGTATATGATGGTTGAGAGATTTGGCACTTTACGAAAAGCATTTCCAACAAACTACAGATATTCATCAACAGCTACCTACGCTCGAGACTGAAGATCAAATAACCAGAAATAATAAGCAAGGAGGAAGTGTGACCTGGCAACGAAGCAACTAAGAACCCATCGCCTAACAAATATGCGAAGACGAAAGTGGAGGTGGATTGGGCATACACTGAGTAGACCATGTGGAGACATCTCGAGCCACGTTCTCGTGTGGAATCCAAATGGGGAAACGACGAGTTGGGTGTCCGAGGGTGACATAGAGGAGATCGTGTGGGGAAGAAATGAAAGGTTATGGCCAGTCGTGGAGACAGGTTCGAGAGACTGGAGAGAAGAGAGTGAAATGGAGACGTGCTACTGAAGCTCTATGTCCCACTAGGAACCCAAAGGAAAAATAATAATAAATGAACCTTTCTAGGAATTATTCCAAAGCAGAAAGACAGACTTATTTTTTGAAAATCGATAATCCGACTTTAATTTTGTTAAAGATCTTGTTGTTCAGTGTGTTGTGATCTAGGTGTCATAGTACTCCTGATAGAGAACCTCATCGATTGCTTAGATTTCTCTCGTCTAGTTCATGAAATGAATTAATCAACCCTGACTCTTTAGTTTAACTTTCGAACCCTTAATGTTGTTCTTTTTTTTCTCATATAATTTCGAAGTGTATTCGACTTTCCGGATTATCAACGTCCATCAAGTCCTGGTGGTGGATGTTATCGCCATGAAAAGATGGTGATGACATCAACCTGTCAAATTGGAACAGATCGATTATCATTATTATCATGTCGTAAAACAGATCAAGTAATGAAACAACAAGTGGGGAACTCAATTAAACGTTTAGATTCTACAACATCATCATCACCTATTTCAGTCGCTGCATCTTCATCAACTGATCATAGTTTAACTAGTGATCCTCGTTCACATCATGAAATGATTACAGCGACAGTGTTGGCAACAGCTGGTAGTGATACTAAGAAATCAACCCACTCCTCAGGATCTAATTCACAGCATCTTCATTCTCAGTCGAATCGTTTCCCTGTCATTGAGTCATCGTGTGCGGATCATATTGTTATACCGAATATTTCTAATCCAAGAAATATACACCCGGTTAATCATCAATTTGTAATGAATGAGGTATTTTATACATTTTTAGTTAGTTAAATGTGTTTAATATACAACCGCGTAATAATCTTTGATGGAGCTGTGGTGGACTGACTTTTTGAAATGACTTTCAACCGTTCCATTAACGGAGATGGTTTAGGTTGCCACATAAAAGTATGGTCAGACCTCAAAAACAGTAGGTGCAGCTGATTGCCTGAAGTTTCTCAAAATCCTTCTCATCATCATTCGATATCACCCAGATCACCAAGGATCACTGAACATTGGTTTTACCCTATATCCTGACTCCTCAGCAGCGCATACTCACAACCTCGTTAAGAACTCAGTGTTGTCAAACAATCACAACTGCTTGTTGCTTTTAATGAAGCATAAGGAAGATGAATTCTGGGTTTCAGATATTCAAGAAAGATCATTCATTGAAGTTATCAGCATGCCTTGGATCCTAGCGCAATGTATAACACAGCTCACTCACTCTACTTCGTGATTCTCACGTTCAGACTTATGAAGGATTGTCAACCTACTCATCTGAAATGAAATTCTTCACATTTATTATTATGAGTATTGATTGCCAAAACATAGCGAGAATGTCTCATGTCATTGGGCATACTTATTGTTTGTTCTGCAGTTAACTGAGTTCTCTGTGATGGAGGTGGTGGTGAGCATTCCATTGTGTGGTGTGTACTACTTACACGAACACATATAAGTAGTATGGAGGATGCGTTTGTTGGATAGGCGGATAGGTGGGATTATCATCGAATCAATAGGAAGAGGCGATGAGACACATAAGAAGGGAAATGATAAGGAGACCAACTCATCTTGAGTGTAGGACGTGGAGACGAATTGGATTTCTTCATCTGTATTCTTACTACCAACTATATCGGAGGGAATACTGGCGTCATGTGAAGCTGTGACTGTGTATATGAATACTGTAAACTATTGAATTTATGCTTCTCAATCGAGATGAAGAAATGTATGAATATTCTTGTTGCATAATCATCCACAGAGTGTGTTGATGTGTATATTTAATGTGCATTAGTTTCTTTTGTGTTGTTGTTTTTACTGAATGTTGATCGCAGGATGACATGATTTAGGTGAAGAAGTATGGTTTTTGAATAATTTGACTTTGTGTTCATTCTAGTGTCTAACAGCGGAATCCAATTGAGAACCAACTTTTCAGCTGGATGTACCATTAACTTAACCGAGTGGCTCAGTGAAAACGTTCTGGCCGTGGAACTTGATTCCTAGTGGGGTCATGGGAGCTCACTGCTGAAGAGTTTCATACTAGGACAAAACAGTGTTCAGTGCTCCCAGGTTGCCAATCTTCCTCCAACTGATGTCAGTCAGTCCATAACGAATGGCGACCCAAAGTATCTGTTATCACACAAATGAGTGATGTTGTTCCCACTGATACACACGCTGATAACCAGTGGTCATAGCTTCAAACACCAGAGCGTTATTCATAAGAGGCCAATGTGTCAACAGAGATCGGCCCTGTATAGCAATAGGAAATTACAAGTATCATTACAACTAACACCCGTTGCAGAAACGGTGATTATCGTAACCCAGTTACTTAGTGGATGGATAATCCTTTGGGGTTTGAAGGGAGTGTACTCACTGAGATCACTGCGCACTAGGTTGTCTCAGGTTGAATGAAACGCGCTTCTCAGATTGGACTGTTAGTCACCAAGATGAATATAGCATCATGAATATTCAGCACTATCGAGGTGTCTGTATAGTAGGCCATCTACCAACGCAGGTCGATCTATTCAAGCCTTTATGGAAACCTATAGTTAACTTTCGTTTATACGAATCCTATGTGGGTTTAATCTAGGTTTAAGTTCAGTATAGAATCATGATTTTATTTATTTATTCTATTTACTAGTTTATTTTACTTTATATTTTATAAACAAGCAAATGAAACCATCAATTTTTAAGTTCTATAGAGACATGTATTTAGTGTATGTTGACATACACACACACACTCTCCTTATTTTGATTACGCTGTCGCTACGTTACTTCGCAAGCGATTGATGATGATCATTTCAGTTCGCCTCAGTCGCATTCACAGACTTCATACCTTTCCCTCACCGCCCCCCACCCCTGAATATATTATATAAGGAATGTAACAGTGGCGACGGAAGTGGGATTTTGGTAAGCGAACCCTTTGAAGTTACACAAATCCCTCGAACAACAAATGACGATTATCGAGATACTTACTCAATCCAAAACTTCTGGTACTGAATCATAGCCTACTACGCCAATTTTAATACCTCCTTGTGTTGATGGCATCGCCGGTAGGACCACTAAATTTCATCACAATCGTGATGCGAATAAGACTTTAGGTGCTTGGTTGAGGCGTTACAAAGACTACTTGAGAGTGGGTTTCGCTGGTCAGGATGATTCCTGAAAGGTAGGTCTCCTACTTTGAAAGCTTGGTCCACCTGAGCTAGATCAATATGGCAACGTGATATCACTGTGAAACCCACGTAATCACAATTCCAATGCCACAGTACAGACACTGAATGACATGTCTGAAGAGAATCAAGGACTGGGCAACCGTCAGAGTGATATGAGTTTATCCCAATCTGAACTCCAGTGTGGTTGTGAAGTATATACCGTTCACCAGACATCTCATTCCTCCCCATCACCCTCTGAGGGCACACACGCTGTGGCCTGATCTCACTTGTTGATCGACCCGGTAACTCATGTGATACCGACCGACCCTAGAAGAAGACACCGGCGTTGTCCACCTAAATAATATCGACGCTGGGCACCATAAGGACGGCCTTTGTCACCAACACACACAACGACGTGTGCGAAGGTGATTCTTCAGATATCGCCACAGATCCCATTCTCGATGGGTAGGTTAATCACTTGGTTTGCTAGTTGATTTTCATGCTGATGGACGTACGTGGCGAAAGAATATGGAGAAGACTACTGTTCCCTCAGCAAACAGGGAGAAAATCTCTCTCTTCATTAGTGAAACAAAGACAGTGCTGCCTAGACTGACATTCTTTTGAAGAGGAAAGTGATGTTGGGATAGGTGAAAATGACTAGTCTGTAGAGGGACCAATTGAAATGTGTATCATGTCTATTGGAATATGGTATATATGCAGGCACATCTGGATGAAACGTGCGTCGTTTTTTCCTCTGCTAGCCACACCCAGGTAAATTATCAAACATGATGGTTATCTGTATCCCTGGTAGATAGAGACTGATGATCTGTTTCTCACTCGTCCAACGGCTACCATTTCAGCGAAACGCAGTAAATTTGAATTCATCTGTTTATTAACTATTCTTAACGACATCTGAATATGTCGACTTCATGTCCACTATCAATAAGGTGACGAGTAATAACGTGCTGTTGAAGAATTTTCCACCTCTCAGTCGCAATAATTCCTTCTGTTCGTCTAATGTAGTATGTACTTTGGCACGTACATGTGAATTGGTTGATGCAATTGTATGGGGACTTGTCAACCTTTGATTGTCTCAATAGACACTTTTTTCGGTGGACTGCGGTTAACCTAAGAGCTGGATTAGTCCTTTTTGTTGACAGCATTTACTCTGTAGTTAATTCTAACTGAAAAATTATCTCCTTTGAAATCAATAATTCAGTAAACAAGCTTCTTGACAGTATCACCCCCCCCAAAGGTTTAATTCCATACATTTTCGTGGATATGCGTTATCACGGAGACGATTGCTTTCAAAAATAGTCATTTGGGTTGACATGAGAGGTACTGATTGGACAGCCAGTGTGAGTATGATCATCAAGTGACAGTAACGCGTCAAGAAGCCTAGTCGTCGGTGGTTTAGATTCTGCCATGGCTTCCAATCATAACCCGGTATCAGTAGTCATTTCCTCTTCTGGTATCTCTTTTGAACAAAGATATTTTATGCGACACAGGATTCAGATTCAATGACCTGATTAAAATACGAACAGTATACACAAGTCACTGATGAACTACGACTATCACTTGTATAAAAGAATATAATCAAGGTCAAATGATTATTAACTGACCTTTATATGGAGAACAGTCACTAACCAGTAATATAGAAGCCAGCAGCTAACCAACCAATGGCCTTAAGGTAGGGAATTTTTATCCTATCCAACAGCAACCTACTTTCGAAAACTGAAAGTGATGCGAATTCGAACATCTGGACGTCTGATTCTTCCCCCACTCCTTGTTACATAACCTAAGGGATCGAGTGTTACTAGACGCGATTATCGTTAATGATATTGAACATAATACGATACTTGAAGTGAATACGTTAATGACTATTCACTGAGTCACACAGACAAAGACTGTTCTATCACTAAAGGGACAACATTATATGGCAAAAAATGCATCATATGTACATAGAATTGTCATACGACTGTTGTTGATAGGTAGCGGATAAATTAAAAATTAACGTTTTAATTCATTTACTGACGAGGTAAAGAGCTTTCAGCTTAAAAATTTGATCGTTCTTACTGTGTAGTCAAGATAAATCTTATTGGGCAATTCCAGGGAGCCAATCAGTATATGTACATATTGTCCAATAAGATTCATCTTGACCACACAGCAGGATCAATTGAAATTTTAAGCCAAAAGCTTCCTACCTCGTCAGTAAATGGATTAAAATGTTGATTTCTATTTTACCCGCTACCTATTAATAACACTCTCATACACTTTGACAAACTTGGTATACCGGTCAGGAAGCAAACAGCACAGATGGAAGCTAATTGATAACAGTTACAATTTATAACCGAGAGAAAGATGCCGGAAGATGTGGAACACGTTAAGCTCATCTTTTTCTTACTCATATTACTTACATGGTCAACTGTTACTCTTCACTTTGCTTGATCACTGCCGTGAAAATTCTACCTTTCCACTAGACTACTTAACTTAAGCTTCATAGATATGTGGATAGTTGCCACATTAACTGACTGAGTGTTAGAATCAACGTAGGACCATCCACTGGCTGAAGTTACCACACTTCACAGAAGTACACAAAGAACAAGGGGATGGAGAAGGAGTGTTAGAGAATAAACAATCTGAAGATAACGGTTAGCGCAAATATTCATCTCAGGGACTCTAACTAGGCAGTTTACATCTCCCCACACCGCTCAACCCAACAGTCAGGGACTTGGTCTTGCTACTCTGAACCATTTTTCAACTTAATCCAACTTCCTGTAGCATGGTACGTCGTTATCAATCGACTTGCCTGTCTTACCTAGTATCTTTCACCCAACCTCATAATTGCCACACTAAGGTGTCTTTCGACATCTACCTACTCCAGTCTCAGTATCATAGATTATGTATGATAGATGGTTATTGAGCATAGTAAGTAGAATTTCTGAGAAATTCCACTGGGTGATAATATGCTCAAATAGAGTCTCATTGTCTTCCACCATGAAAGATCATTTCTTCTAAACCTTATTTTGACTCCTAACTAACGCTTTGATACGCTAATGAACGTTTTATCTGATGCAGGTTAATTGAAGATTCTATCCTGATATATTAAAGCGTGAAATTATTTTACTATTAGTCTTATTAGTCCTGAAAATGTTTGGTTTGTTTATCACCTTGGCTTTTTTTTCTTTAGCCTATGGAGCGTTATGATATTCCTTATATACCACATAAACACTCGAAGTTGACTTCATCAAGAGAACCGGAATGTTCAGATGCTGAGTATATGGGTACAGCATCATTTGGACCTTTAAGTATGGCTGTTTTAACATCAATGACAGAAGATGGTGAGTAGTTTATCTAATTTGTAGGCTTTTTTTTTACATTTTCAGTTATGTAACCAGGTTGATTTTTAGTCTGATGTGAGCTTCACAATGGTGTCGGTGTTGCGTGCGTGGATCAGACAGGTTAAATCAACTTAGAACCTTTCATACAAGCCCTTGTAACCTATTTTTAGCCATTTCACACCAAGAGTTCTGAATCACTCATTCCTAACATCTCAGGGACCCTAGGCAGGTAGTCTACACCTAACACGGCTCAAAGTAACAGTCAAAAACTTTATCTACCGGTACCACGTCTTTTTGTGATCACCCTGAACACTCATTCCACTTACTTCAACTTCCCCCAGCATTGAATGTCAAGGTAGGCAGGCGGTAGCCGTCAAGTGTAAAACAGCATCATCAAATGACTAGCCTATCTTGCTGAGTACCCTTAGCCTGATCTCACATGGCTCACATGGGGATTCTAATACACGCGAGCAATGCTATGAAGACACTTATGTATCAAAGGATAGAACGAACTGTAGCGGAGTATACTCATTCTTTGATAAATAGTCGGATATCTAGTCAATTTGGCAAATGCCAAACGAGCCTTCTGTATCCCAACTGAGATTTCGATACCGTGCGTAGACTGAATATGAGATCTAAGGGCACTAAGTGTTACTGTAGTTATCACATTTACTAATGTAAACATTCTATATAGCGTGAGCAAGGCAGTTACTTAGCAGCATAGAATGTCGCAAAAGGTTACTTTGACTAGAAATCTCCTTGTTTGAAACATACTCATCAACCTTGTCGACATCCATACAGTAGACAATGAGACATACCTACTGGCTACCTGCGGTACCCGTCTATTCAAAACTCATTAGGTGGAACATGGTTCCAACTCATGACCAATGTGGTTGAATATCAACTGAATAAATCAATAAACCACAGCTTCTAGTCAACATTAATAGTAGGATCTATCAAGAAAATGCGTATCGGTCTCAAGAAGGATAAGAAGTTCGACGTAAGAAAGGTGGTGGTTGAACGGAGATAAGAACATCAGACGGCTTTGATTGGTTGTTGTACTATTTTATTTCATTGAAGAGGTAGTTGATATGGGGACAGAGAAAACACTAGTCTAGAGAGGGAGGAATCAAAATGTACTTTATGTCATCACTTCTATAGTTAGATAGACAAACGGATCAGCTAATCAACAGTGTCTTCTTCATTAATTAGTCAGGTCGAAAATCACTTAAAAATTTGTTGAATGTTGGTGGTCGATATCCGTGCATAGTTAGCGGTCATAGCAGATAGAGGTCTTTGAACCATAACATTGGCGACAAGGATTGGGGTATGTGGAAATGGATAAATTTGGATAAATTACTCGAACAACAAATGACGATTATCGAGATACTTACTCAATCCAAAACTTCTGGTACTGAATCACTGCCTACTACGCCAATTTTAATACCTCCTTCTGTTGAAAGCTTGGTCCACCTGAGCTAGATCAATATGGCAACATGATATCACTGTGAAACCCACGTAATCACAATTCCAATGCCACAGTACAGACACTGAATGACATGTCTGAAGAGAATCAAGGACTGGGCAACCGTCAGAGTGATATGAGTTTATCCCAATCTGAACTCCAGTGTGGTTGTGAAGTATATACCGTTCACCAGACATCTCATTCCTCCCCATCACCCTCTGAGGGCACACACGCTGTGGCCTGATCTCACTTGTTGATCGACCCGGTAACTCATGTGATACCGACCGACCCTAGAAGAAGACACCGGCGTTGTCCACCTAAATAATATCGACGCTGGGCACCATAAGGACGGCCTTTGTCACCAACACACACAACGACGTGTGCGAAGGTGATTCTTCAGATATCGCCACAGATCCCATTCTCGATGGGTAGGTTAATCACTTGGTTTGCTAGTTGATTTTCATGCTGATGGACGTACGTGGCGAAAGAATATGGAGAAGACTACTGTTCTCTTAGTAGGCAAGTTGAAACTATTTTTGTGTCGATCAGATGGATGAAAGGAAAAAGATAGTGCGGTCTAGTCTGACTGCAAATATCAGTTTACAGTTCAATAAAAAATCCTCCTGAAGATGGATACACATCCACATCTATTAAGAAAAACTTGAAATTAAAACAGAATAAGGAGCAAGTACTCACGCTTTCAAAAGTTGTACGGCAGCAGAGATTCTGAAGAATCGGTTGTCCAAAGTACTGAAGTTATAGATCAACTTCTCTAGTTGGCGTTTTATTTCGCAATGTGTTAAGGACAAGTTACTTCATTATGTCACATCAATGTGTGTCTACAAATTTACTGACAAATTACAGGGCCTTGTGAACGTGTTCAGCAGAAATCTGTGTATGTTTGGCATACGTTTTGCTGGTATCTGTGAAATATGAGATGGCCCTGATAGTGAGATGTGTCAACCACTTCACCTCGTGGAGTGCGTACTACTGAGGCGTTTCATACTACGATGAAATAGCTGACTGTCCAGTGCTCCCAAGCTTCCAATCGGTCTCTAATTGATTTCAGTCAGTCTATGATGAATATTGACTTTGAATCCCGATTAGGACGAAACCCGCATCTTAGATTCTCTTGCTAGTGGCCACCAAAGAAACTATCAACTAAGAAAAGACTGTTGTTTAGCGTTTGAAAGAAGCCGTTGAACTAGTTGACAAAATTCAGTTTCAACAATGGATAGTGGTTAGTAGTGGAATTCAGGACACGTGTTTCGTCCCTGTTCAGGACTCATCAACTAGGTGGTAAGCCCGTCCTCTTCTCAATGAATGAAGTTGTTCCCAGGAGTAATCGCTTCAAATTCCAGAGGTTTATCTACTAGGATACTGTCTCACGGTAGCCACTTCTTGTAGTGACTCAATCGCCTAATTGATAGTGCTCAGGGGGTTGAAGTTATTACTTCCAGACTGAGTCCCGAACATGCATCCAGCTAGCTAGCGTAATCCAAATTGAATGAAACGCGCATCCTGAATCCCATTATTGGTATCAAAGTTGAAAATACCGGCAATGTCGTGGCATTCTCACAGGAGTCCGTATGCCAACGGTGGCCTATCGGAAAGGAACGCACTCAGTCACCCTGAGCTCATCTGTGCACTAGGCAATAAACCACACCTATCGTGCGTAGGTTAGTTATACTACCCGGCTCCTCATACCTTGATAGATGGAGCGAGGTTCCTAGCCTGTCACTATGGTCGAATCAACGATGGGAACTTACAAGCTTATTCGATCCAAACAAAAGTCAGTTTGTTTCTAATTTCAACTTGATATATTTAAGAAAGAGTTTAGACATCTGAAAGCGTATTGAAGTTAAAATATATGCACTTCTCATAAAGCTCATTCCACTCTGTGAAATCAACAGTATGTTGCTGAGTGATATTTGATTTTAGAAGTCTAATGGCTGGAAACCTTTAGTAGGCGAAGATTTATTGGTTGATGAGACTAATCAAGAAGGTGTAACTGCAACCATAAGGCAATTGATATATCCCTTCACTGATTTAGATTTACATCATTCAGTGTAACTATCAAGGAATGGATCACTACATTCTTGAGGTAATTATTTACCACTCCTGTAGGGACGACTAGGCGGTGGTGATGAGCACGAATCGATCACCAGTAGTGAGCAGACGATGTCTAATCGGGAGTTTAAGTGCTCAGGACTCATCGAAGTCAGATTTCTGAACAAATATGTTTATGAACATGTTTCGTACAGCATGTATTTTCTAGTGGAATCTAGGATACACTTTCTTTCTGTTCTATGAACCTTTCAGTGTCTTGAAGAACCTAATGATACTAGGATTTCGCACTTATCGTTTGAAATAGCCAGATCTACTATTCACTAAACTCTGGTCAATCCTGTAAATGAATCCCGAGTAGGACGAAATCCGGAATTTGAACTCTAGTGTTAGTTACTGGCGAATATGTAACCAAGATCTTATTTCAGGTGATCTTTAGGCGTTTCCTGAAATTTAACCAAGTAGATTAACATAAATTGATCGAATTCAATACTGTAAAGCAATAAAAAACGATATCATTGATCCACTGCATTAAGATCCGGTAGCTGACATTTTCTACTTTTGTCAGTTCACGATATAGCATGACCTCCATCCAACAAACCCAGTGACCCAGTGATAACGTGCTGGTCGTGGTCCTGGGTTCGACCTCCGGGTGGGCTCCTGAGTGCATATGGTTGAGGAGTTCCGTACCGGGACGAAACGTCTGTCCAACCCCCACCCCCTTCGTTTTTGAAACGGTTCAGTTCAATATCAGTTTGAACAAGGTGAACTCATATTTATTTACCCCTTTCCCCTCTTTCTTTTGTATTCTAAAGGTCTTACAAGTTGTGATGGTGATGAACTAACAGAAGATGATGATTGCCTTGATTTAATGACCGACAACAACGATCTTCTACTACACAATCAAAACTTTATCAATAATCCACATGATATGAATGCCTATTCTTCACGTTGGTACTCTGTGTCTAGTGAACAAGACAATAGAATTAGTAATAATACTCATGACAAGGATAATGATGATAAGAATTATGAACAACATGATAATATTGTTGTTCATGGGATGATGACTGATAGCCTGTTAGCTAATCCTGATGTAGATGCTGACGATTCAGAATTAGACGAGGATTTCGATTATACACCAACAACTGCTGAACAAGTTGATGAAGGCATGGATTCTCGTATTTATGACCATCAACAGAATAATGGTCAGTTGTACTTAAATCAAACTAAACCGGGAACGAATCAAGCAATTATAAACACTTCATGGCGTGATCATATCACTATGAGAGACAATACTACTACTTCTACTAGTACTAATCAAAATACACCCATGTTGTTAGAAGCTGCTTTACTGTCCACATCTACAACACCCTTGTCACAGTTCGGCATTGTTGACAGTAGTTCAAATGAAAACTATCCACATAGCGATAGTGATAAAAAGGAACAAAGACTCGATCATTCATTATCATCGTTTGGTCTTGACGATTTGGGTAGTGAAGACGTAAGTTACGCTAAATTATTTTGTAAAACTTCATTAACTACTTATGAGTAGTGTATATTATTTTGTGAAAAATATCGTACTCTGACGAGAAATTTAACAAGCCTGTGTACACGGTTTCCTTTTTCTCAATATAATTCAGTTTAGAAGAACAAGATTTCCATACAAAGATGTGTCTATCCCATCTCGTATCTTTTTCTCAGCTGATAGGGGTCTGGAATAGATCTTTGGTAAATAGGAACTCTGAGTGGGATAAATAAAGCCAAGTGAACGTTATCATTACTAACGATGGTGGTTAAGCTGTTTCACGTTGTAATAGGTATGATTGTAAAATTTTAGTAGTTTTTCATGTTGACTGATGCATTTATTTGTCAAGCTGGATGAGTCCTTAAGGATCAGTGACCGATGTAATCGTTGCACGGATACCAATGGCTCAATTAGACTTCGTGATCCTAAGTGCGGGCTTGATATTTCTGGTTTGCTTGTTAGAGTTGATTTTACTCGGCAGCAGTTTGCTGCGGTCTGCTCTGTAGCTGATAAAGATGGAGGAGATAGGCAGTGTCAAAGTTGAGGACCCTTGCATTACTCCGTAACGGTTCAAGTTCTCACGCCCAATATCACCGCATGTAGCGAATAAGAATGGGGAGTGGACATCACTTGACGTACATGCACTTGCACCTTTTTCGACTTCTGTGCGTGTTATAGGCCCTACCTCGATGTTCCGCTCACGACGCGACTGGATGGTAAGCAATGGAATGTTAGTTGGAGGCCAGTTGAATTGTTCCGCCAATCGTTCCAGTCGTCTCCCCTACTGATGAACCACACACAAACTCATCCTTCTTCTCTATAGACTAGATATATTCTGGATGAATAATGTTCTTGTGTTCCAATAACTAACTGTCTAACCAGTTTCTCACTACAAGCAACCCTAGTATACCCTTCACCCAGCTGTGCAGTCTTACACCAACCGTGTCTAGCGATGTCATAGAAATATGGTCTGTCTCTGTCCACCGCTGAATTGAGGCCGGTGGATGCCAAGTCAGACAATTTTTCTTTGTATGCCAGAAGTTGATGTTAGTTAGAAAGAAATAGCACATATCAATGGGCTGAATCGCTACAGTTTTGGTTAGTGAAGTTTGTTTTCCAATTTGAAGGAGGATACAGACACTCAAAGCCCTGATCTATAATTTGAGGCATGGTTTCAAGCAACCAAGAATGTAGATTGTTGTTGAGAGCTTCACAGCAGGGAGAAACTAAACATGAAAGATTAGAAGTTGAAGATGGGGAAGGTGGACAGTGATTTGAAGGAACTTGAGAGCTGACGGACTTGTGAGGGTGGTTGAAACTTCTCATCTGTCTACACTGTATAAAGTCATTTTTCTTGAGGTATTCCAGTACTCAAAGGACGTCTGCTTCAGACCAGTTTATTTGCTTTAAATCCAGCTAGGAACCCCATACTGTCAGGATCTGTATACCCTAGAGTAGAGAATTTTGCACCATTTTGGAGGCCGAATGTTTCTAACTCCCCCTTCCACTGCTGTCACACTCCTATTCACTTAGCAGCAATACGCGTCCACCCTCTAATCACTCACTGTATCATAGCCATTTACACTGGTCTTCAATATATCATTGTGATATACCAGCTAGACTATCACATCAAGATAGCAGCTATCGATCGGAAAAGGTGGAGAAGACTTACAAAATTCAGGTGTTCGACTACCATCGCCTTCGCGTTGTTTGCTGTATATCGTAAGACCAAGATGTTAGTAATGTTAATGGTCAGATATAGAGGTTAAGCTCAATTAAGCAAGTTTTTCAAGCTTCATCGATCGAGTTGTCTGGGATATATAAGGCGCATGACTAGTCAGTGGCTGACCGAACACCTGATGTCATTTGAATTAGGGTTAGTTAGGTTAAAAGAATCTAATTGGCACTTCATGACACTTTTATATCAGATACCACACCTTGTACTCTTCATTGATATACGTTTCCAACGGATACTCTGCGAAGTTCACGGTTGAACAGTCCACATTTTCATATAGACCATTCAGTTTGTAAATCATTTGGTGAATTGATCATCCTATGCCAAAATTGATTAACTGCGAACTTGTTCTTCGTTTTTCTTCATTTTCGACTTCAGTTATTTGCTTATCATGGGCGTATTGGGCAGCGCCTTGATTACAATCCATTACATAACAATGAATCATCATATTCATCAAGTATTCATCCTTCTTCATCGAAAAACAACACACATTCTCATCAAATTGATGAGCAGGTGAATAAGAAGTCTCCTAATGCAAGAAATTCTTCTCTACTGTATAATAACCTTGGACCAAGACAAGCTGTACGCCCATCTTTACCAGAAGTAGCTCCAGTTGGTCTACCAGATTTCTCGCATCATCCACAAGCATCATTAATTATGATGCCATGGTATACATCGTCATCAGCTCCATCTGATAAACAAGTTATCCCACCGTCAAGTCATCCATTTCTTTTGTCCTCAGCATATTCGGCGGCAGCAGCGAATCCACGACCGATGGAAGCAGCTGATCTAAGCTCAGATTATGACAATATATACGCAGGTTCTTTCCACCCATCGAGTAAATATGCTTATGGTTGTCGGTTTAATCTTCAAATAAATAATGCTACCCATATCACTTCTACTATTGCTAGTAGTAGCAGTAAGCCAGCAGTAATACCGACACCAACATTAACTACCGCTGTAAGTGGGTGTGGAAGTCGTCGACCAGCCTTAAGAAAGTTGACTAAAGCTCAACAAAATCATACCAATTGGCAGTTAATTATGCCTGGTGAAGAAAGTGATGCAATGAGCGGGTTAGTTATGTTTTGTTTATCTTTTTTTCTAAAATAATTTTTGCCATTCTTTTTATTCTCTAGGGAAATCGACCACCATTTTGTTGTCCTCACAGATATTTGTATAACCCTATTATGGTTGTACGGAATGATTTCCTTCTAATATTTACTCTGAAATGTTGAAGTCCATTATAAGGATCTGTTTTAAGTACAATCCTTTTCAGTTGATCAGTTTTTAATTCATTTTAGGTTGGAATTCATCATGGACTGATATCAGTTGGAGGAACATTGGAAACCTGCGGAAAATGAACAGCCAGCTGTTTCGTTTTAGTATGGGAATTCTCAGTAGTCCTCATCCACGTCGAACATGAGGACAGTTACTCAACGATGACGTTGAATGTAGGTCGCGGTATATTGTGAACTGACAAAAGTAGGAAATATGGACCATTGAATTCCGATCCAGTGGCTCAATAGTGACGCGCTGGCCACGGAGCCTGAAGGCGTGAGTCCGACCCCTGGCGGTATGGGGTGACGAGTGAGCACTGCTGAAGAGTCCTATACTGGGACGAAACATCTGGCTGTCCAGTGCTTGCAGGTTTTCAGTCTTCGTCCTACTGATGTCAGATCATGGTGAATTCCAACCTCTAATCAATGCATAAACCTCCACAAACCTCCAGATAGAATTTTTATGCAGTATATTTCAATCTCTGAGTGTCTATGTAAGTGTAACTGGTGTTATTGAGTTTTCATACCCATCAAATACGTGATGAAATGAACCTCACACAACTATTTCATACTGAAAATGCATAAAATACTTGCCAGTCGAGTAAAACTATGATCTCTTGTAACTGAAAAAGCAGACACGTGACGCCTGCTTGAGTTTATGCTTGTATGTTTTGCGGTATTCTCATTGGTTATTTCTATTCATATGCGACCTTGACAAATACTGTAATCCTACTGGCTACCGTTTAGATGAAAATGATGCTGATGATGACGCAACACGTGACAAGGCTACCACTAATTTTGTTTCCCTTACCTCGAAAAGCAGTGGTATACACATAATAACGTGACTCATTACGTCAGCTTGTCTTTGATACATTGACTGAAACGTTTCTTGCTGGAGAAAATGATCCGAAGATTGGCGATGAAGTATGTTATATTCAAGGATCATTGTCAGTCGTTTTCTGAGGATGTGTGTTCTTTCGGCTTTATGCTTCTACCTACGAATGTAGACAGGAAACCGTTCTCTACTAGCCTTCTTCGAAGATTTTACATTTCTCCGTCAGTAGTGTTGTCAATGTGTATTTTCTTGATCGTCGAGAACAGTGAATGGATATGTTTTCTCTTCGTGTTTAGAAGGAGGGACTAAACTTAGAATAATAATGGTGAACTTTAGCAGACGGTAGTTTTTTCGGGATGAATATACTACTGACAAGTTGTGGTAAGTAACACGTGAATTGAAGACAGGTAAGTTGATTGACGAGGTTATGAACCTTAGTCGACTGAGATGGCTTGGAGATGCAGTGTACATACCGAGACACCTATCTCGACGTGCCATGCTGTGGGGAGGGGGAGGGGGATTGTATTATGTTGGGAGAGGATTCAGTATGGTTAAACTATACGTGGTATCAGTCGAAAAGGTCCATGACTGCTGGTGTGAACCATCTGGGCTGCGACGTCCCCCTCCCCACAAGTATAACTCATCAACCGAATGTGTAGATATCGTGTACTTGACTATGGATCAGAAATTTCTGTCTGTCTTGGAATGGAACGCGTCATAACTTATAACTACTTTGTAGGTCAATGAAACCACCATGAACAGCAAATGATGAAACTTTTGTTTCCTCGCTAGTTTTCATCTATTCACAGGAAAATGAATTTTGTTTTTGTTTTTTTTTCAAAATAGGTACATAGGTGATGCTGCTTCGTCAGTCTATGATACAGGTGATGATGATGATGATTCTGACGAAGATGAAGATAATAATCACTATAGAAAAAGAAACAAGTAGATAATGAAATCGTAAAATCTTCAAATGAAGATATGTTTCTTCAAGTGGATACAACTCATGACAGAGACCTTCCAGTGTCAATGAATGAAAGTCAACTTGTAGTGAACACTTCCTCTCAGTGTTTGGATCAATTCATAAACATTACAAATGAATATAATTCTTTCAGTATGTTGAATAATCAACAGTCGACCAGAGTAACATATAATGATTGTAATGTAGTTATTACGACTACAAGTAATGACAATAGCATTACCTCTATAATAAGAGATAATAATCACAATGATAATTATCGGATAACATCATTATCATCATCATCATCATCATCGTCTATTGGAAATTTTACACAATCGTTTATCAATAACATCCAATCTACTGCCAATGAATCATTAAATCAACAGCCTACGCAACAGATGAATTTATCAAATAATACAACTGATCAATTTATGAATTGTACTAATGTTGTTATGCAACAAACTGTTGATTCACAATACCCTAGAACACAATTACATCGTACTGTTAGTAATACTGATAGTCATACAAGTGGTACACGGTAAGAGAGATTTTATTGTTTTCGTATATACTGCATTGATCGATCATATTTACTGTTGAACCTATCATTAAGCTAACGATCTCATCAACTGACATGACTTAGATATATACTGCGTATATCAAACGACCACCTACTTCAATATGTTATGCTAAGGGAAGTTGGATTAATGTTATTGCTTGTACTATGCGAACAATATTGCTCATTGAGAGGCAGGTATATCCAGCTGATGAGTCCCAAACAGGACGAAACGTTTGCTGTAATCTTGAGCTGTTGTTCATTATTCTAGCCTTTTAATTTTAAATGAGTAAATTGCTGGTTCAAGCCGCATTGGGAAGCCAGAGAATATGACTTCCTAGTTAGCATCACCACTCAATAGTTCACGAACCTCCTCATAGTTGCTATAAGTTACATAAAGTGATCATAACAAAATGGATAATCTTCAGAGACTGTCAACAAATCTATAACCACATACTACGATTTCGATTGATAGTTGATGATTATGTCGTGCTAAAATTTAAGCTCCCTCCTAAAGTCTATGTAGTAAATCAATAGGCAACCATGTACAGCTTAACCACACCCCTTATACACCAGGGCTGATGATATCACTCGGCAATATATGAGACCGAGGTCGAAATCATTAACTGTCTACACTTGTAGGCTATAGCTCCTGAAGATTATCTACTATTTCACTGATTAATGGTTTTTAAAGTGTAGATTTTCATCATGTATTGAATCTTGATCCAACCGCTGAAGGTAGTCATCTTGGCATCGTTCAGTGTCTCTCAGTGATATATCCCTTAATACACCTCAACAAAAGGTTTTTTCTGATTCAACTTTTGTTTTTTTTTTCTCCTTTTATTTAGCTCCGAATATGATAATGTTGATAAATCAGGCTATCAAACTGAATATAATTCTCTCTTATGTATACCTGACAACTTGACTTCTACAACGAATTATGATGTTGCTGCTTGTGATGAACAAGTTCCTTCGCAATTGTTACCAATATCAAAGTTATTATCAACACCGACAAGTAAACTACTTACAAGCCATATGAGTAGTGTCAGTAGTAGTAAGCCCAATAATACTACCAAATTATCACGAATTCCAATTGCAACAAATTCACTTATTCAACAAAAGTACTATCATCAAAAACAACATAGTCTATTCGATGCACAAATTGCAGCTGAAGCTAGACGAATTAGTAGACAATTTCGTGTAATGGGATGGATGCCAGTTGCTGGAGGTCAACTGCCGCCAACAGATACTACTGTCGCCGCCGTAACCACCACCAGTGAACATTCAGATGAAAATAATAAACATGAAGAGAATTTGGCGATTTCTTTTCAATTGGATAATACCACAAGTAGGTCATATCTGCGTGTTACAAGATATCTGTTTCTACTGGGTGATAACTGATGGTGAAGAGAAAATCTTGACCGTGGCGGGATTCGAACCAGCGGACACTTAGTTTCCTGCTCAGTGCTTTACCAACTGAACTAGGAGGCCTGACTGCTGGTCCGAATCCCGCTGAGGTCTAAATTTTCATTTCACCTCCATTCATCATTCCGTATCAGTATTAGTCTGCTTAACCATGGCTGATTTTTAAGTAATCACTGTTTAACCTGTGTAGCGCACCAAGTCAAAAGTGGATCATAAGCTATTGGACTATATAAATGGGTTCGCGTAGTATCGGTATGTCCTAATGTGTCTTAGTAACAGTACCGCTTATCATCAGACAGTTATTATTACCACTTATTTTAAGAACTCTTGTAAAGGATTTACGAATTAGAGTTTAACAAAACTCTACATAAAGGTATCCATAACTGGCGTCATTCTATCCCAGAACGACCGCACAATTATCTCCAGTGTTATTGGTCGCTTCAAGGTCGTCTTAAGGCTACTCGAGGATGGCGAAATTTAACAGTCCATCATGATGTAATATATACCTTCCATCAGGACTAACACTGTTGCGGTTGTCACAGGCACACAACTCGTCCATTCACTCCTAACTCTGACCTTGAACGTAATTGGTCTCAGATACACTTGCCCAGTCTCGTGCTCACGATCCAATCACATGATGAGTCACTCAGTTCTATCCACCCAACCACTTACAAAAGAACACGAAGCATAGTGTTTATTTCGCGTGATTTGTATATACAATCGAATTTCCTGACCACAACGCACCATAATTATTAAGGTGAAATGACTAATTAAGTTCATGAACAGAAAATGAGATAATAGATTATGATGGAGAATATTTGTAGCTCAGGTGGATGGTCTTGGTTGTATTGTATTCTCTGAGCTGGGTTGTTTAATCGTGAAGCTTTCATCGTCTTCCTCCTGGACGACATCATCAGCACTAACTTCAATATGAAGTGAGCTGTCAATATCTCTCCATGAGTGATTTAGTAGCTTGCTCTGACGATGTGGTCTGTGATTGGTTGTTTCCTTCGATTGTTGTGTCATTGTATAGACCTTCCTGTTGGCTGTTCCTATGCTTCACCTCTGACCTTTCTGTCGTTTATCATTTTTTTTCTTATTGGTTGATAGATCGGGTCTATGTCTATACATCTATTGATTGCTGACTGACCTGAATGCCAAGCTTCTAGAAATTCTCTGATATTCTTTGTGTTTCCTTTGTCCAAAATTTCGACATTGTCGAAATTGAATTTATGTCCATGGTTGTTATCCACGTGCATTGAAATGAGTGACGAAATGTCGTGGCGTTTAATAGCTAATTGGTGCTCATGTAGACGAAGGCGAAGAAAGCGGCAGCTTTGTCCAATGTAGTGTTGACTACAGTTATTACAGTTGATTTTGTAAATGATATTCGGTTTGTCATTTAACTGTAGTCAGCACTACATTGGACAAAGCTGCCGCTCTCTTCGCCTTCGTCTACATGAGCACCAATTGGCTATTCAACGCCACGACATTTAGTCACTCATTTCAATGCACGTGGATAACAACTATGGACATGAATTCAATTTCGACATTTTGGACAGAGGAAACACAAAGAATGTCATCAGAGAATTTCTAGAAGCTTGGCATTCAGGTCAGTCAGTCAGCAATCAATAGATGTATAGACATAGACCCGATCTATCAACCAATGAGAAAAATGATAAACGACAGAGAGTTCAGAGGTGAAGCAGAGGAACAGCCAACAAGAAAGTCTAAATAGTCAATGACACAACAATCGAAGGAAACAACCAATCACAGACCACATCGTCAGAGCAAGCTAGTAAATCACTCATGGAGAGATGTTGACAGCTCACTTCATACTGAAGTTGTTGCTGATGATGTTGTCCAGGAGAAAGATGATGAAAGCTTCACGATTAAACAACCCAGCTCAGAGAACACAATACAACCAAGATAATAGATTAGTTTCACTCAAAATACCGCAATTATTTTCGAACTACAAGTCATACAGAAATGGTTAGGGGGTCATTTGGAAGCTCTTGAACTGAGCTATGCAACCATGCTACCAATTGGGTTCTAAACGAAACAATTCGCAAAATAATTAAAAATACAATCAATGATACTTAACTGAGTTTCACATTTCCCACTTTTCGGTTGGTATGACACTCATATTTCACATTTATTTATAATATTTATAAACTGGTTAATATTTTTCTACCACAGACGGGATAAATCTACTCCCATCCTCCAAGTTACATCGACCTCATCTGTTTCTGTTACCGGGGAGTAATCAAATAAGTCATCCATGTTCACGCCAAACATCATTACGTGGTCGAAGTCGATATCCTGGTGGTGGTGTTGGTATAGACAGTGAAACAGTGACTACAGTCACTTCACAGTTAGATGATGAAGACGATGATGATGAACGACAACTAGATCTGAATGATGCAGAATTTGATAGGAATATAACTAATGATAATAAGGATGATGATCACTTTTCTGCAAAATTAAAACTACTTGAAGGTGAAGAGATTGCCAATCGAGTTTCATGGGAATATGGTAAGTTTTGTACATTTTATGTTTTTACTGATGTATACTTATGCGTAGATGGAAATTACTGAAATAAAATGGTATCCAGTTACTTGTCCATAATCGTATTCAGGAGATGATTAACCGACAGTAGTCAGATATGATGAGACAAAGTTGGGCTCAAACTATTTAACTTCAATCCAAGGACGCAACTCTTGCGTTTATCTACAAAATATTCGACCTTTAAGCGAGTAGGAGATTGACCAATAGAAAAACAGCCTCCTTGAAAGCGTTAAAACTGAGCAGTGCGTGCGAGGCAGGAAAGGCGCGAAGATGATAATTCGAATTTTCCATTATGGAAATTGGTAAATTTTTTCTCCAACAAGCAATCGATATGGAGTGACCTTGACCCCGCTAACATTGAAAAAGACCTTGTTCATCTTTCATGAATATTATCATATATTCATTATTATTGTTGTTATTCATTGGGGATTTAGTGGAATACACATGTCACCTCCCTTAATCACTTGGTGTGAATTCGTGTTGTAGTAGTACTGAGTTCGAACTAGCGACTTTGAAGTTCACCCTAAAACAACCACCTAATTAGGCATTTAGAAGCTTTCTCTATTTTGGCTGGAATAGTAAATTTTTCGCAAATAAATGAACCTAATTGATTGTTTCAGTAGTTGCTAAACTGGCTTTTAGACACTGACAAAATCATCGTATGACCTCGCACACAGGTGCTTCGGTCCAATTCGCCACACTTCACAGTAGTACATAAAGAACAGGTGGATAGAAAAAGACTCATATCAAAGTAGACAAAGTCGTTTGAGAGAATAGATGACAGTTAGTGCAATCATTCAAGCTTCAGACGATGATCACGCGACTGTGACCGATTTTCATCCATGTCACACCAAGAGTCCTCAACCACTGATTACTTTCACCTCGGGGACCCTAACTAGGTAGTCTGCATAGTCCCACACGACTCAGACCATCAGTTAGAGACTTCAAAAGCTTGCTAGCCCTCACAGCTAATCTATACGAGCATAGCCGACTTTAATATATTGATAGCAGATAGAATCTCACTTTCTTGTAATTCCGTAGATGTTCGATGGGTTCATCACGGGAGCAATGTCTAGTTTATGTAAAAGAGAGAGTAGCAGGCAAGGAATGTAAGGTGTTCGGTCAGATTATGAATCTTGAGCGACTGAAGTGGCGTGTACATGTGTTGTGCATGTTGAGTCACCGCCTATCTCGAAGTCCAATGTCTTTCAGAAGCTAGACTCGGTTGAAATAAGAAACAGGATGGTCGAAGCAAGAGGTTTGGGCAGTGGACGGATTTGTGGTGGAGGATTCTTAGCGACATAGATGTATTCCCTCCTCGACGTCTTCTCAAGCTTTGATATATACTCTAACCTTTAACTTCTCCCTGTCTGCTTTCATAACTCTTTTTCTTGCTTGTTTTCCATATGTGTAGATGTTGAGAAATGGACTTATCAAAACTTTGGTGATCCACAACTTGGTTGTCTTCTTGTTCGTCCACGATCATTGAGTGCAACATGCTTGAATATAATTTCGTCAATAGATACTACTCATGATTATAAGAATATAATGAATAACGATGATGATGATGATGATGATGATGATGATGATGATGATGATGATGATGATGATGATGACGATAAATCGAAGAGTGAAGAAAGGCGGCAGAATCGATATTTGAATCAAAATGGTAATGACGAGGAGGTGGCGGAGGAGACTGAACTCAACTCAAAACTTTACAAGTATGTTTAGTATATTTTTGTAGTAAGTTTGATTTTCATGAAATAGAAAAGTTAATCACTTGTCACCTTATTCTAACAGATTTGATGTTGGAATCGGTGTGTGTGTGTGTGTGTGTGATCAGTCATATCGTACGATTATAACCCATATCCTTCAAACATTCTAGATAAGGTAATTAGAAGACGTGGTTTACACCATGGTAGAATAGAGTTTTAGAAGAAACTCTGATGCTAAGAAAAGATAAACATTACCAGGGTCATATATTAATGAAGGATAGTGGTTAGCAGTGGAATCCAGTTTGATGCACGTTTCATCCTATTCGGGACTCGTCAGCTGGATGTACTTACCTCCTAATGAGCAATGTTGAACTCGGGACCGATTACTTCAAACACCAAAGAACCAGTTCTTATATGAGTAACAATATTATTATTACTAGGGAATAGGTTTAGCGCACAAATGAGGCTGTAAGTTCTATATGGCTAACGTTTCAACAAACCGAAGTATATACACCTCAAAACAGATTTCTACCATATTGAAAAGACTGTTTCAATATTAATTTTCTGATGTGTGGTTTGAAATGGATATTGATGATAGGGATTGACTGGCACCAAGTACGCTTATCAATGTTTGTGAATGCAGTTGCTTTCGTTGCCATTTTCGGGTGTCTCCAACCCCCTCTAGTGTATATCTCGATTGGTCGTCTATGCATACGTGTATCCACACATGTACACAGTGTCTCTTGTAGGAGGATCACTACTAGTTGATATTTACACATCATACCTTGAAAGTTTCTCTTCTGATCTCATTTAGTAAGTTTACTCTTTATAATAGATATTTTGGCGATTTAATTGTAATCATGTGATAAACGTAAAAAATCGACCTATTTTCTACAAAGATTTAACACCATATAATTGCGATGCGAACCTCTAACAAGCAAACGAATCGACTGTAATCACCAATCAGCCACAAGAACAATACTACTGACACGCAAAGACAAGACGAGAAGACGGATCAGTGACGGAGAGCTTTCACTGTCTCAATAACAGTCAAAAACAGTTGAAAGATGTTGAATATACATATAACACTTCGTGAGAATTGAAGGTGAGAGGAAAATGTGGACCGTTGCCGGATTCGAACCAGCGAATCCGGTAGTCGCTGGTTCGAGTCCAGCCACGGTCCAAATTTTCATCTCGTCTTCAATCACCACCCAGTATAAAATACTACGGCTATCTCAGATAGTCAAGTGATATATATATATAATCTTGACAACACGAAAACCACATTTAGGTTAAAAAGAGTTAACAACCACTAAGAGTTTAGCCTTCAAAAGTAAAGGGAAAACAAAAGCTAATAACGATTTGAAAACACCAATGGTAAATCATTTTGAGGTAATAGGCAAAATATCAGGCAATATACTAAAATACCAATAAATATATCACTGGAGGGAGTCAGAAATCAACTAAATATTGACTCAAAACTTACTCACAGAACTAAGATTTTGGTTGATCAAATCATATTTGGCGTATATTTGTGTCTGAATTCCACAGTCTTCAAGTTTCAGGACAAAATATGCAGACAAACAGAAGGAGTACCAATGGGATCGCAAATATACCCAATCATAGCAGAGATTTCTATGGATAGTTGGGAAAAACATGGCTGTAGGAAGGTTCAATCCTGCACGTAAGATATGGCGGTGATATGTGGATGAAACACTTATTGTGTTCAAATCGGAGCATGTCGACAATTTCTTCATTCATATAAACTCAGTAGTAGGCTCAATCTAATCCACTTACAAGGAGGGGGAAAATGAACAAGGACAGTAACACTAGTTGGATTGCAGGAGAAAACGAAGAACAGACAGTGGTTTGGACCGACACATTCCAACAGGTATCTAGACTTCAGGTCATCTCATCCAATGTCAGTTAAACCAGGTTTAGTCAAATATCTAAAGGATAGAGCTAGAAAACGGACTAGTCAGTGCAAAGACCTAAACACGGAACTGAAGCATATAGAAGAAGCACTAATAGTTAATAATTATCCTCTACAGTTTATTAAGAAATTCGTACGAATAATAATGACAACACGAATAGGAAGTTCACAGCCTCCATTGTATTACCCTGGGAGGAAGGTACATCAGAAACTTTATGTAGGATCTTCAACAAGGCTGGCATTAGTTATGGTGGCATTGAAACCTAAAAATTCACCCGGAGATAAGCTTTGTCGGCTGGCTTTAGGATCTGATAGAACCAATTCAGCAAAATAAACACCAAACGCTATGCAAAATTAGGAGAAGAAAGACAACTATGTGCTATTCTTGGATATATTTCTGAGGCATAGGAAAGCGGGTTCAATAAAACGATCAACATACATGAAATCTTGATCGACCAAGACCATCCACCTGAGCTGCAAATATTTTCCACCATACATGAAATCTAGTTGGACAGCTTAGAATTTCAGCTTCCATAGCTTTTTTCCAACTCTATAGAAGCGAAGTTTAATAATGTACCTATTCAAAAGGATCCAGCGTATCTGTATTGAGGACCTAACGGATGATAACATCTGGATGTCGACTGAAACATTAGTAGAAAATAAATATCCATTGAATTTCATAAACTGTCGCAAAATTAGCCAGCGTTGAAACCCAGTTTGTATTATGTTTCGCAGAAATGCAATTATATCGCGTTACCATAAAGAGAAGAAATCTTACAGTGCAATGCTGAAACGAAGGCTAAGATCTACCATTAGCAAGAAATACTATGCAGCTAGGCTTCTTGTAGTCGGGAAAACCAAACATATGCTGCAATACAGAGCTTAACACTGCACAAGCGATTACGTCACATTCCACTGGGTTTATCAGCTTATATCTGTGTGTGGGGGGGGAGGTGTACACATGCATAGAAAGGTGTAATCGAGATATACACTTGAGAGTGGGGTAAAATATACCGAAACTGGCTACAAAAGCAGTTGGATTCACAAATATCGATAAATGTGGGGGTTAATGATCCCCATCCTTTGCAAAATACACATCATTGGTGTTAAAACAGCAAACTATCTTGGAGTGTATATGCTTAGGTTTGTTGAAGCAACGGCCACACACAATTTTAAGCTTCCTTCGTGTGTTTCAACACGGTTCATGCGTTAATCATCGAATCCTGCGTTTTACTACTGGATAGTAAGTTTAAAAGTAAACCTATCTATTTCATGGATAAGCGACATTTATGTGATTGTTATCGGGTGGATACCGAGCAATCTATGAATGTATGCTCTGAATAGCAATCCATTTTCGTATGGCCTACGCTTCATATTTACTGGCAAGATATGATCTTGGGGATTTTGTCACCAATGTCTCCATTGTTGACTAGTTTACTTGTTCAACTGGAATCCTGTATATGGCATAGTTTTGATTGTATCCTACTACAAACTTTCTTCAAACTGGTATGTGTTGAACGTATAGATCATTGCCTGACAACATGAACTGTGTAATGAACCTTATAACAACCAGAAGAAATGAAAACAATGGAACATCAGATGAAGCATTAATTTCTACATCTTTTCAAGAGCTTCTATCGAAGGCTGAGTCACTTCCTTTACGGCTTATTGTTTCGAAATAACTATTTGTTTAGTGCAGTCAGTTATTATTGTGCTTAACTCTAGTATCTGTGGTGACATCTTGGGAATTTCCACTGAAAGATGATTAAAGAGACTTATATATCGTATGAGACTAATCTCAGTATGGATTGTGTATACAGAAGTATTACTGAAGTATAAACTAATGTATGGGAATTAAGTATGATCCTCTTTGACTGATCTCATTCACTGACTGTCCCAGACGGGGAGTTCTCTTGTGAAAACCGCAGAGCAATCAGCCTGACGGACATAGTATCTAGGTTTCTAGGTTCTATAGTCATTAGACGCTGGAGTGGAGCGCGGGAAACAGCAAGCCCAAGAAAACCAGGAAGGCTTCAGACCTGGCCGTGGGTTGGTGTATCCACTAAATATTCACACTGCATAGATTCTGGAACACAGGCTTGCTTACCGATGCTCGACAATAGTTGTATTTCTTGACCTGAAGGCGAGAAGTCTTAGGGTAGTGTCTTTCATTGAAAGTGGTCCTACCACCCTGAACTCCCTTCCAACCTAATCCAATTTCCCCTAGCATAGCACGTCAAGGCAGGCGGTGGCTCGACATATGCTCTACATGTCCGAACCTTCTCAGTCAACTGAGTTTCACAACCTCATCAATTGACTTGCCCTTGCTCCCTAGTATCCTTCGCCTGACCTCGATATTGCTTACATTGTGATTCCACAATCCTGCGAACACTTCTATGATCAAAACTCCGTAACCGCTTCATATCATCTAATTTTAACAGCCATGTCTCACAGCCATATAACGAGCAGTACAGAATGGAGTGCAGCTCAGTATACTCATTTTTTGATTGGCACTTGGATATATCGCCAAGTTGGCGCCATAGATGACGCAAGTTGGCCAATACTAATCGAGCCTTCTGTATCTGAGCTGAGATTTCGTCAAGAACTAACCCGTTTGGGCTGATGCAACTCACCAAGTAAGTGATATGGTTGGCACATTCCATCACTTCACTCCCTATCATTAAACTGAAAGTAATTGCAGCAGACCAGTCTTGTAGCATTTGACAGGAGCGAAACGCATGCAAAATATACTCATTTTTCTGCTTAATGCGTTTAGAACACCGCATTGCGTCATCATCTTCACTTAGCAGCAGGACATTATTGTCTGCGTACTCCAAGTTAACCAGATGACCTCCAGGGAGTAGGTCAATCCCTGTGAAGTTAGACGTCCCCAAGGTTAGGTTTATTAGTACGTCTATAACGAAGTAGGAACGGTGACAGGAGGCATTCCTCCCGAACACCCCTAGTTGCCGTCAACTCACTTGTCAGCTCTCCATGAGGCCAGACACGGTCGAATCAGTGTGATTAGAGAGCTTTGATTAGTGTTATATACCTGCTCAGTACTCGCTTCACAGTCAGACACTGCCACAACACCTCACCATCGACTGAGTCGAATGCTCCCATCGGGTCAAGAAATATGGCAGGTGTCTACCATTAGCCAGTAGGTATGCCTGTGTTCCATAACCCATCGGAGGGTGAAAATATGATCGATTGACCCCTGTCCAGCTCTATCTGAAACCTGTCTAGTTTCCTCGGATTCGCCATTCTCGACCTCCAGTTAGGATTGGAATGATCAGTGAAGTAGACCAGTCTGACGGTACTACTTCTGGTTTCCATATACCATCTAGTATCTCCATCACTTTAATCAGCAATTTCCTGTCTGCATCTTTGAAAACTTCCTGTGGCAAATTGTCAGGTTCGGCTACATTACATCGTTTTAGTTCCGATACAGCCCACTCAGCTTCAAAGAAAGTTGGAGGGTCGACATCTACATCCCATTCAGATCTAGACTGGATGTTGGGCAACTGGAAAGTTGTTGTGTTCAACGTTCTAGCCGCCTGTCATGGGAGGTTATTATCAGCGTACCATCCCTGTGTCTAATATATGGAGTGAGATAGATCGGTAATTGTTCGTGTATTTGGAGATGCACTTGCCTAATCGTACGCCTTATTTCACTTGTTCCATTGGAACGATTTAACTGGTATGTGGAAGATGAAAAGCTAAGATTAGTCTCTTGAGATAATGGAGATCATTTGTAGCTCAGGAGGATAATGTCGATGATGGGTTCTCTGAGGTGGATTTCTTAATCATGGAAATCCAAGGGACCTGTTCTCCTACATTTCTATGATCGAACAAAATGAACAAACCAAACATTCCACTACGACTAATTGATTCACTTCCAGGATTCCACTCTGTCAACTCTTCGACACGATATTTCGAAAAGATCAACCATATACTGACAATGACGAATTGATGGTGTCCTGTAACATTACAGCTTTATGGACTTCCAATTGAACTGAAACTGGTCAAGGGTACAATGAATCTTCTCTTCCACAATGATACATACCTCTCGGAATACCCACACATAAACATACACAACTACAATGTCCAAGTTTGATGGAGTTCCTTGATTCATGCCTGACAATATATTTTCAATTGGACGATAAACTCTACAAACAGATCGAGGGAATAGCAGTTATATCATCTGTATCAGGACGAATTGCAGAAGGAGTAATGCAGAGACTAGAAACTGTGGTATTTCTGTTGATCAGACCAAAACTTTGGATTCGATATGTAGAGGCCGCGTTTATCATCATTAAGAGAAATAAGTTGGAAATTGATGATATCAAATATATAACTGAAGGGGAATTAAATAACCAACTTGCATTTTTACATGTTCTCATCACTAGAAGAAATTCGAGCAGATTATAAACTGAAGTATACAGAAAACCAACTGATACAGATCAAATCCTCAACTAAAATAACAACAACCTAACATTGTTCAAAAGAGTGAATACACACTGTAGTACATCAACTCTTTCGGAGAAAAGAAGTAAACTATTTGGTAACTGTTTTCTGAGAAGAATAGGTATCTACGCAAAAGGTGCTTACACAATTCGTCATCAACTGAGAAGTCAACCTCGAAAAATAACAAACAGTTTGTCATACCCTACATGAGAACGTCACCGAGATCATGACTAGATTATTGAAGCATTTTGGAATCACTGTATCTCTCACAACCCACAAAATGTCTTCACTCTGTGTTATGCAGGCCAATTGAAAAGGGAGACAAACCAAACACTATCTACAAAATAAACTGCAGAAACGGTGAACAACACTACATAGGACAGAGTGAAGCGTCATGATAGACCTTCGCTCATATCAATACATACAGACAACTGTGGACATAAATATTTAGAAGCCTAATGTATTCAGATCAGTCAGGAATCAACAGACACACTAACCTTGACCAAATCTGTCGACCAATAAGAAACACCGAGACGGTCATAAATTCAACCAATCAAAATAACCAAGGAGGCAGTGAAAAGACTTTGGGAGGAGTAGCCAATCACACACAAGGTCATCAGGGTAAGCTAGTGAGTGAATAAATGCCGGAGAAAACTTTATAGTTCACTTCTTTCTGAAGTTTGTACTGATGTTGTGTCTAAAATGACAAAGATGAAAGTTTCATGAATAAACCATCAAGTTGAAAGAACACAACACCATCGATTAGATTAGATCGGCTAACAACTGCCAACAGGTAGGTATAAACGAACTGAGTTGTATGCTGTATTTTCTAGTTTACGTGTTTGACAATGTGATGGAATGTCACTTGAAATGTTAGTTTACTTGAAAGGAGATGATACACTCCGTGGATATATGACGTAACTATGTGTTGAAATGTTCTCTTTTCCTTTATGTAGAGTTGAAAATTCTACACAAGAAAATTTACATTCATCAAATCGTCAACGTTATGCTTCGTGTAATAGTGGTAAGTCACCGGTGAACACTGTCAATGCATACTGGAGTCCGCGTCTACAACGTCTACAAAAGCGTACTGCTCATGTGCGTAATTTATTACCACCAGATTTACATCGATTCATTCTACCTGGATGTATGAGCTCATTAAGTCGTTCATCATCTCTGGTGACTGCATCAAGTCATTATACCACTCTCTCGGGTATGCTATTCTTATCATTATCACGTAGAGCATCATATCGTCGAGTTCGCCATCATCACCGATGTCAACATCATGATCACAATGATGTCAATAATGCTGATATCAACGGGGACTATTCATCAAATCAATGTATCAACATCTTATCAAAGATAAGAATGTCTAATTCAATTCGTACACACCAACAAGAATTTCTATCGAAATTATCAATAGACAATCGTAAATGGGCTAGTGATCCAGACTTACAATTTACATCTATCTGTCAAACTCTTGATCATATAGTAACATGATCTCTGTTTGCCTTTTCTCTTTATCCAGCTGAACAGTTTAACTCGACAATTATAGACACTAGTCTTCCTTCTGTTGTTTAACATCTTCTGTTCTTCCCTTATGCCTTACCTTGTTTGCCTTTGGTATAGTTCATCTCAGCCTTCTGAATCTTTCCTCTCCAATTCGACTGAATTCTCCTCTGTGTGTGTGTGTGTGTATGGAGCTTTTTTTGTATGGTCTCTTCTCCTCTACCTCCGCTACTTCCTTTTATTTGGTCTGCCTTTTATTGTTCAATCCCGGTATAGAATGCCTAATTTATTTGTCGCTCTCACAGTCTTCAAATCTTTCTCTTTTTATATCTAAGCATGTGAATAACATTATGCCTTAAATTCAATTTACGGCAGTTATCTAGATGGAGCTTGAAACTGCATCATTACCCGCCCAATTATATTTCTCACAAATATTTACTATCACTACTACTACTACTGCTACTATTACTACTACTACTACTACTTTATTATTAAAAGCAACTAGCTTGTTTCGCATGCTTTTCACCTGTCTTCATCAACAGGATTGCATTCTCAACTATTCAATTGTCGATGGATATTATCAGTTGTTTTGTAATCCAATTATTGTTTGTACTTTTAAAAAATAATAATAATAATAATAACACATCTCTTCTTATTTGTTTCATGTGAGCATGCTACTGTATGTCAATGAATGTATGTATATTACCTACCTATCACTTAATTGTTTATGCCTTGTTCTTTAACTTTATCATTTTTAACTACTTAATATTTTGTGAGTAGGATGAAATAATTTGTCTTTTTTTAACAGGCATGTAACAGCCATTCAGCCTTTATTGAATATGCATATTTATCAATGAATGAATATTGATATTTCGTTTTCTTCTTTGCTTCAATTTTCGTATACTCGCAAACTGACTTTTAACAAAATTTCACTTTCTCAGTATTATTGTTTTTAATTATCTTTTTTATAGTAATAATTTTTGCAAACTGCAAATGTATATCCAGTGTTTTCGACTACATACTGTTAATTTTAATTCTGTTTTTGTTTTCAAAATGCATAAACTTTTCTGTGAAGTTTTTTTTTTTGGTCGTTGATTAGTTTGTCCATCAGCTAGCCGAATAAAAATGGACTTATCGATGTGTAGGCGGTCTGACAAAAAAATGGAGGGTTTAAGAAGTAAGTATGTAGTCTTGCTAAATACTTTAAGCTTTCAGGTTGTATTGGAACCCACGATGAGGCATCAAGTGAGTTGTTGATGTCAACTTGGATCCGTTTAGGATGTTCAAGCTCTCCAATTTCGCTCAAGAATATCTCCTTCGATTCGTGTGATTTCGCAGAGAGTGATATTCTCACAGAAAACTCTCAACTCGATTCCGAGTACACGATTATATCTTGTATGCCAGTGGGGGGGAGGGGGCGTTGAAGTGATTTAGTGGGTTAACCACTTCACATATTTTGAAAGTCAGATCAATTTTCGTGAGTCACGCTATGCAACATCACCATCAAAATTGGGGGACTTGATGAAGCTTCAAGCGTTTCACCAAACATTTATATTATTATATTATTTGTCCCTTGGAGTTCCTAATGGAACATACGGCTTCAGTAGCATGTCTCCATTCCACTCTGTCCCATGAAATTTTTTGAACCTGGCTCCACGACAGCCCAGAAGCTCTCATTTCTTCCTCGCACGATCTCCTCCATGTCATCCTCATCTAGGACGCCCAACTCGTCGCTTCCCACCTGGGTTCCACTCGACGGCCTAACCTGGCGCGTGATGTCCCCAGTCAGTCTTCTCAGTGTATTTCCAATCCACCTCCACTTCCTTCCAGGGCATATTTGTTCAGCCATAGGTTCTTGCTTCGTTGGTTCGTTGCCAGCCAGCCAGAGCTCCTTGTTGCTTATTCTTATTATTCTGGCCATCTGATCTTCAGTAGCGAGCCAGCGTAAGCAGTTGTTGATGAATGTCTGTAGTTTATTGGAAATGCCTTTCGTGACGCGCCAAGTCTCTGAGCCATACAGAAGCACTGGCTTGACGTTGGTGTTGAAAATCCGTATCTTGTTCCGCATGCTGAGTGCAGAAGATCTCCACACTGGTTTCAGGCTAATGAACGCCTGTCTTGCTTTTCCGATTCTGACTTTGACGTCCTCGTCCGTCTCGCCTGTAGTTGAAACAATGCTTCCTAGGTAGGTGAAAGAGGCTACTTCCTTCAGGTTTCTCCCGTTAGTGGTGATTGGTGCCTCTTGTTGTTGATACTGTTGTTGGTTAATTATCTTCATCACCTCTATCTTGTCTACATTCACTTGAAGTCCTGTCTTCGCTTCCTCTTCTGTCAACTTGTTAGTTTTCGCTTGTAGATCTTCAAGTTTGTGTGACATTAGGCACAGGTAATCGGCGAAATCTAAATCTTCCAGGTTCTTTTCCCCGGTCCAACGTATCCCTCTCTTCCCGCTGTTGAAGCAGCTGCCAAATTACTTCTTGGTCGACGCTGTCAATAGCCTTTTCAAATTCGATGAAGTTGAGGTAGAGGGTTGACTGCTATTCTATGCTCTGTTCTATGATGATGCGAAGCGTTGGAATTTGGTCTGCACATGATTTGTACTTCCTGAATCCTGCCTATTCCGGTCGTAGTTTTGAATCCAGCGCATCCTTTAGTCTCTCCAGGATGATGCGGCATAATATTTTGCTTGTGGTGGGCAGACAAAAATTAACGTAGAACCTTGCGCTGAATTGTATCGGTTCACAAGTTACCACACCTCACAGTAACACCCAAGGAAAACATGGACAGAATAAGAGCGATATCAAAGTAGGCAAAAGTGTATGAGAGAAAGAAGAATTCGAAGATAAAGGTTGGCGCAAGTGCTCAAGCCTTAGGAGATGTTAAGAAGTGAATACAACTGTGCCACTTAGAGTGATTTTCAGCCATTTCACCAACCACCCCAACCAGGTAGTCTACTCCTCCCTAAACAACTCAGACTAACATAGACTTCATGGACTAGTGTCACGTCTTAGTCTGGTCATCCTGAACCGTCTTCCAACCTAACCCAACCTTCCCCAGTATGGCATCTAAAGGTAGGTCGTGTCTCGGCTTGTGCACTACATGTCCAAGACACCTCAGCAAATGAGGGTATATAACCTCGTTCACTGACTCACTTCTCTTGTACCGCTTCATGCCTTCTGCATTTAAACACCATGTTTCACAGCCGTGCAGCAGAAGAGAATAGACTACAGGTCAGCGCAGTACACTCGTCGTTTGATAGATAGATATCCCGGCAGTCGCAGCCACAGATGACGCAAGTTAGTAATTACCAAATGGGCCTTCCTTATCTGGGGTTAGACGGAAGAGAACAGTGGTTGTTCGTGTACTTTTCGAGTGCAATCATCTATTCAGCATCCTTATTTATTACTTATCTTGAAGTACATTGTAATGTGAAAAAAATCAGTGATACCAGATAGTCTTCTCACTCATGTCTGGGATCGAGTTTAGTCTAAATAAACTGTGGATTGACAAATATTTTCGTAATTGGATTAGGTGGATTTCCAGAAAACGATTACTTTGCTTCAATTTAGGGCTTTGTGGGGATTTGTTGGTTGGTTTCAAGTCGGTATTGATCACGGACTGATTGACATCAGTTGGAGGAGTATTGGAAGCCTGAGAGCACTGGACAGCTTTTTCGTCTTAGCATGGGACTTCTGAGCAGTGATCACCTGTGACCCTGCCCCGCCAGGGATCGAAACCACGACCTTCAGGTTCCATGGCTAGCCACTGGATCAGTCAATGTCATCATTGAGTATTTGTCCTCACGGTCACTAGGTTTGCCCCACTGGTCACGACTTCTCATTGATGACCAGCTTTGGAAGGTGTTTCCTGAAGTTCCGAGAAGTCGTGACCGGTGAGGCAATCCCGGTGAACTTGAGGACAGATATTGGGTGATGGCCCCGCTGTGTCGTGAACTGACAGAAGTTAGAAATACGGGTCATTGGATCCCAACCCAGTTGCTCAGTGGTGTTGGCCACGGAACCTGTTTCTCCCCCCTCCCCCTAGTTTTGATCTCCTGAGGAAATCAAACTGTCAATTGTTTCGTAACATGTTCTCGTTTACCCCATGGGATGTTGCCATTATAACCCCTTTTTGTCTTCCATTTTATACTACTTAAACTTATTGAGTAGTATAGTTATTTCCCATAATGTTGCTTCATTTAGATCCTTGTTCACATATCAAGATGTCAGTATCCTTCACAGTTCGTGATGGTGTTGTAATTTCTTTCGTTATTCCACTATGTTCTATTTAATCTTGAACATTTTTTTTATCTTATGTCTTAACTGCATCTTGGGAACTTAAGCGGGTCTTTCATATTCCCTTCTCGTTACTTGGACACAACTTTACTATTTTTACTGCTGACGCTCTCCTCGTAAAGTGCTTTGATAGTAATAAACTCGCAGATATCAAATGATTCGAAGTTTGCATATTATTATTTTTAGTCATAATCAACAATATTATACACAAATGCTGCGTTTTGGATTTTATCCATAACTCAAGCGTATGACTTATTGTTGGGAAGTCGCTTGTATAAATTGATTCCGAATATCTTGAGAAGAAATTCATACAAACATATTAATCATCATCAATATCAACCTGGGACCAGGCATCACTGCGTAACGCTCCGAGTTGCCACACCTCATATCACTACATCCAATAGAAAGGCAGTGAGGTGAAGATAAGATGAAGATAAGAGAATGCAGTCACAAGAAATATAAAGTACGAGAAGAAAGAAAGGAGGAAGAATGACAAAATGGTGAGATTCGGTACAGCGTTGTTAAGGTGAGGATAATATGTGTATACATCTGCGCCACTGACATCGGTTCTGAGCCATATCACCTAGAGTCTCCAACCACTGGTCCCCCTTGTCCCGCTGACCCCAACCACCTAGTCTGAGTCGCCCCACATCGCTCAAAACAACAATCAGAGATTTCATGCATTGGTGCCATGTT